CTTATTTCATATTCTCCCATTTTTCCCCATCTTCAGAATTTCACGTGGATACTGGCCATGGGAAGGACAATAGGTAGGACCTGGCCAAGGGTGAGCACTTTTCAAGTCCCCTTAATTTCAGTGGAAGCATTGAAGCAGTTGCTTAAATCTTTCACATTGAAATCAAAGGTCCTTAAACATTGACCTTTGGCTGGGCCACAACCCAAACAACTTCAAACTTCAGCACAATGATATTCTGGTCTTGACCTTTAAAGCCGCTTGTGGCTTAGGACCCTCGTATCTATGGGACCGCCTCTCCTGGTCTGCCCCGCAGAGGACCTTAAGGTCCATGAATAACCATAGTTTAGAGGTCTCGGGCAATAAGGAAGTCAGACTATCCTCCACCAGGGCCAGGGCCTTCTCAATGATGGCTCCGACCTGGTGGAATGCTCTGTCCCAGGAGACTAGGGCCCTTCAGGATTTAACCACCTTCCGTCGGACCTGTAAGACAAAGCTATTCCGCCTGGCCTTTAATTTGAATTCAACCTGATCTTTTATTTCCCTTCTCTTCCCTCCCCCTCCCCTTTTATGAAGATTACCCACTCTGAGACCCCACAGCTAATTCTCCCCTGGCCCCCTCGCTGGCCCAGGTAGGACCAATTCAGCCAGCTAGCCCTGGGGATTACCTAATTGATTTATGATTTTTGAATTTTATTGTTATTCATGTTTTTAAACCGTATTTTTAAAAAGCTGCTTTTATAATTAAGTGCTTTAAAGTGTTTTCAATTTGTTGCTGAGCCCGGTTTTTAAACCAGGAAGGACAGGGTATAAATAAAAATATTATTATTATTATTATTATTATTATTATTATTATTATTCATAGTGATCAAGACGAAAGATTTTGGAAAGATTTTCCAGTTTCAGAATAACACTATTTCCGCCTTCCACCCCCAACTTAATTATAGTAATTTCAGGCATGAGCCATCCTCCTATAGGAAGAATTGACAAAGGGCTCAGCTGGTCCCATTTTGCACCATCCCACTCATACAGTGTACACTTCCTGTATACCCATCCACCCAGTTGCCTCCTTCTTCACTCCAGAAGTTACTCTTGCCCAAAGGAATGATGGAAAAGTGGGGGAAGGAGAGAAGGAATAGATCTTGTTAAGTTGTGGGCGAACATATCAGACGACACAGCGATTCTTCCAAAGCAGCTCTTTATTTGTAAGCTGGAACAGAACTGAACTGAGGAGCTCAGTCAGCCTGCTTATATAGAGCTCCACTAGAATGCAACAGTAACCATTTTCTGTAACTAGCCAATCACCGAACGTCACTTTCGATCCTTCATTTGCATAACTATCTACAGTATCCCCCTGCTGGCCCAGGGTGAGAACTTCAGTACATAACAGATCTCCTCTGTTAACCCCATGCAACAGGCCCAGCTGTGTACTTGAAGGCAATAATCTGTGCTCCTCAATTTTCCATTCAACACCCAGCTCTGTATTTCTGTTATCAGTTTGTCCCCACTCTCATTCAGGATTTGTGAGTTCAGACCTTTAAACCTCCCCCTTAAATAAATTCAGTCAAGACTCAAATTTTGGTTTGGTTTTTGGTAGAATTTAGGCCACAACTTTATTGATTACAGAAAGTGACTGGTTGCATAGGCTCTGGTTCAACTAGCTCCCTGCCATGCAGGTAGCGCTGACCCAGGGCACCAGCATAGGTCAGCCAAGGGTGAACACCTGGATAGGTGGAAAGCCGGGAACAGGCTAACTCTGCCACCCACAATGCCCCCCTGGACTCAGGCACGGGCACAACCCCCTCTCAGGGGTTGACCAAACCATCGAGTCCCTGGATTCCTTTAACGGAATACCCTTCACATAGGGATGGCGACAGCGTTCTCCCATCCCTATCACCTGAACCAGTGCCTATCCGCAACCTTACAAGTTGTGACGATTTGCTATGCAGCAGGCGAAACCCAAATGGCAACAGCCAGTCAGCCAAGTGGGGAAAATTCCTCCCATGCCCCTGTCCCAACGACAGACGACACACGATGGCATAGCAAGGTCAAGTGCACAAGCCCTAAATATAGGGAGAGGTGGGCGCGTGTTCCGATGCACACAGTGAAAGAGGAAGCTCTGGGTCACATGCATAGGTATATATAGGTCCCTTGATCTGTTTAGCCTGCATCCCATTGGCCTGATTGAACCCTGCATCAAGGGACTTACCAACTGGATGTTGTGGCTATCCAAACGTACCCACCCACAACACAGGGTTTGGTTGCCAGGTCTCACTTCAACACATGCCCTCTTTAAGGGAGGACACGATCAATCATTTCAGACTGTGTTTATTTTTCGACTTCTTCAGGGGTTTTGAAGAAACAAACACCCTCCCTTCAGATGTGAAGGAAATAAGCAGCTATCCTATCTTTAAAAAACATCTGAAGGCAGCCCTGTTCAGGGAAGTTTTTAATATTTAATGCTGTACTGTTTTTAACATTTGATTGGGAGCCGCCCAGAGTGGCTGGGGAAACTCAGCCAGATGGGCGGGGTATAAATAATAAATTATTATTATTATTATTATTATTATTATTATTATTATTATTATTATTATTATTATTAATTTTTATTTTTTTATTTATGCGCTCTAAAATAATATTCAAGCTGAGGGTCTATATAACCAGCACATGTTTTTTCCTTGACAGGACGGAAGCAAACTTCAACATTCACTTTTGCCCAGTACAGAACCGTGTCGCAACCGGTCCTTTTCTTTTAACACAAACCCAACTACGTGTTTGACTCCTATTGCAAAGGTAATACAAACAAAAGTCTATTAAATGATTAAATACCTAGATAATATTAAAGGCCATGGGTGATACTTTCCCTTGAAATCAACAGACAATGAGTTTGAGTAACACTGGATATTAATTGCATATAGCTGCAGCGAACTGCCTGTTTTCTGAGCACATATCTCTTTCCTTTCACAGAGTGATTAGATTGGGTGCAACCCAATAGTTATGGATTCATAGCCATATTTTGCTATGGTATAATAATAATAATAATAATAATAATAATAATAATAATAATAATAATAATAATTTATTATTTATACCCCGCCCATCTGGCTGGGCCTCCCCAGCCACTCTGGGCAGCTTCCAAAAGAATATTAAAATACTATAATACATCAAACATTAAAAGCTTCCCGAAACAGGGCTGCCTTCAGATGTCTTCTAAAAGCCTGGTAGTTGTTGTTCTCTTTGACATCTGGTGGGAGGGTGTTCCACAGGGAAGGCGCCACTACCGAGAAGGCCCTCTGCCTGGTTCCCTGTAACTTGGCTTCTCGCAGTGAGAGAACCGCCAGAAGGCCCTCGGTGCTGGACCTCAGTGTCCGGGCAGAACGATGGGGGTGGAGACGCTCCTTCAGATATACTGGACCGAGGCCGTTTAGGGCTTTAAAGGTCAGCACCAACACTGAATTGTGCTCGGAAACATACTATTAGGTATATGCCTAATGCCAGGCAATAAATAATGATACACATTATGGGTTGTTAGTAAATGAAGTTTTACTCTGAGTAGAGCCACTGACATTAACGGACCTAAGTTAACTTTGCATGCAACTCATCATTTTACAATATCAGGCATCTGTCTCCATATTGGTGAAACCAATAAATACTGTCAGCTGGGAAGTCCCCAAGTCCAATCTTCCCTCAGCCATGAACTCATGAGGTAGTCTTTGGCAAGTTTCCCAGCCTTAATCTCACATCTGCTGTATGGGGAATGATAAAACTGACCTACTTTCTTGGGCTGTTGTAAATATTGCTGAAGAACGTATGTGCTTGAACGTTATTACATTCTGAGCAGAGAAGTTGGGTTTGGGGAGAGGGTACAACCTATTTTAATAATATTCAATGACAAGAAAGCATAAGGTACAAGGAAACAAGGGTGCCTCTGAAAACAGTTCGGAAACACTAGCTATTCAGCAGCCAGGTTGCTCACCAGAGCAAGGCGGTTTGGGCATATTACACCAGTCCTGGTCCAACTGCACTGTCTACCAATTAGTTTCTGGGCCCAATTCAAAGTGCTGGTTTTGACCTAAAAAGCCTTAAACAGCTCAGGACCGCAATACCGCAAGGACCACCGTTTTCCGTATGAACCTACCCAGACACTGAGATCATCTTCTGAGGCCCTCCTTCGTGTGCCTCCTCCTTGAGAGATCCGGAGGGTGGCAAAACAGGGACTTTTCTGCAGTGGCTCCCCACCTGTGGAATGCTCTCCCCAGGGAAGTTTGCCTGGCGCCTTCATTATACACTTTAGTAAAGGTACCCCTGCCCGTACGGGCCAGTCGTGTCCGACTCTAGGGTTGTGCGCTCATCTCACTTAAGAGGCCGGGAGCCAGCGCTGTCCGCAGACACTTCCGGGTCACGTGGCTAGCGTGACGAAGCTGCTCTGGCGAGCCAGCACCAGCGCAGTGAACGGAAACCCCGTTTACCTTCCCGCTATAAAGCGGTACCTATTTATCTACTTGCACTTAGGGGTGCTTTCGAACTGCTAGGTGGGCAGGAGCTGGGACCGAAAGACGGGAGCTCACCCCGCCGCGGGGATTCGAACCACCGACCATACGATCGGCAAGTCCTAGGCACTGAGGTTTTACCCACAGCACCACCCGCGTCCCTACACTTTAGGTGCAGGCAAAAACATTCTTTTTTAACCAGGCCTTTGGTTGACTTGATTGACATCCTATGCCCTTTTAAAATGTGGGTTTTTTTTGCAGGGGTGGTGGTATTATTGGGTTGTTGTTTTTAGTTTGCTTGTGGTTTTATATTTTTATTTTATTCTGCGAACTGCCCTGAGACCTCTAGGTATAGGGTGGTATATCAATTCATGTTATTAAATATTAATAATAATGAGATACGCAATTCTGTTCTCCTCATAAAGCAGAAGAAGAAAATGAATGAAGCTCCCAGCCGCATTGTCAGCGTTCCGAATTTAGCTTCCTATGCAAAAAGCTTTCTGAGTGGTGACTTGAGGCCGAAGAGAAATCCACCTCTGATTACAAAATCGACAAGTTTGGATCAGAATCCTGGCTGTGTCAGAGTGTGCTATCCATCAGTCCAAGCCTTGGAGACCAAGCCAGCCCCAAGGTAAGTCATCAGTCTGTACTTACGGGGAGAAAGCTGTGATCCTATATAACGAAGCTACAATCCTATACCATTCCTCCTGGAAGTAAAGCCCTATTGAACCCATTGGTATTTACTTCTGAGCCACTAGTGTTCATTGAACCAAAGTATTCTTAGACTTCATCAATAACAAAACATCATTCTGATATGGAGGTATTTAAGCAATGTCAGATGGCCATCTGTCATAGATGGTTTATCTGAGATTCCTGCATCGCAGGGGGTTTGACTAGACGGCCCTTGGGTCCCTTCCAAGTCTTAAGATTCTATGCTCTCTAAAATGAGTCGTGTGGACAAGATCGAAAACGTTACTTCCTATAAAATGAGTTCAGCAGTGCCTAGAATCTGTTGCTAAATACCAAGTGGAGCTCTAGAATTTTGGGGAAGAATATAAACGATGATGAGAGAGTAAACAGGAATAAAGGAAACGAAATAGTCACAAAGTTTGTCAGCTTATTTAGGAAGACATGTTTCTCAGCAAAATAGGCTTGTTTAGCACCTGTTTAATGGCTACCGTCCCCAAACCACACAAGGTTTGTGTGAGTGTTGAGAGTTTGGGTCTTCCTCACCATAGCAACTTCCTAGAGACTCAAGCGAGCTCTGAAGTGCTAGGACTGACCTTTATGGGTGTTTTATATTATGTGACCTAGATGAAGAAATGGGAACAAGCAATTATGTCATGCTCTCAGTAGACTTCCTGAAATCAATGGATGTCAGAATAGACAAGAGTGTAACTCTTAAATGTAACTTTAAGGCCTATGCAAATAGCAGTATCTTTTAACAAATAGGAGGTAGCAAGATTACAACCTATGCAATATTTCTTTTCATTGGTGGTGGCGTTTTAGATCAAGATAATTCCTGGTATAAGGTTTTTCTGACAGGGATAGTGGTTTGATGTGGTAGAATTTATTTCTTAGCTCCTGCTGTATGCACAGATATATTACATATTTTGAGAATACAAAATTCAAATAAAGACGTCAGTGAGTATGAAGTTGCTGACAGAAAACAGATTATATTAAAGCTGCTTTAGTAAAACCTCATGTCTATATTTCTTGCGTCATTTTTGAAGACAAGCTGAACATTCAGCGTACCTTCTTCATTTCACGGGATTTGCTCTCTGGAATATTTCAACGTACACTAGCTTGAACATCAAGCCAAAGCGAACCTGGTGGAGCTAGACTGCTTTGTGGAATATCTTGAGTTGCCAAACCCTTCTTCCAGTCCTTGTTTATGCATGTATTTTGATGAGTTGACTTGCCTTTTGATTGTATTGTCCCTAAAGTGGCTTACAAGATTGCAACAATATTGTGTTGGTGTTCATTTTAAAAAACAGCCCTCTTATCAAGAGATGTACCCAGCATACCCTTCCTTTCCGATTCTGCAGTCCCGGGGCAACTGGCAGTTAGGAATAGAGTGTTATTTTGGAATAGAGGGAGGAATCTTGCCTTCTGCAGCCATTTCTTCTTCCACTCATGACTGTGGCCAGGACTCAAAATGCAAACTTCTCTCTTCCAAGTGATTATCAGTTCACGGGCAATATTATATAGTAATGCTAGTTACACAGAGTGCCAGTTACTGCTACCTCTGATTACCTGTACCTTCCAACTCATTTTTTACTCATATTTTTTATTTGTATTTTTTTCTCTCTTCAGGCTGCAAAGTAATGAAACATCAGAACCCAAAGATGCTCAGAAACCGGACCCTCGCCATCAGGAGTGGTTTACGAAATACTTCTCTTTCTGAGAGAAACTATTTATAGAATATCCTACACGGATAGTACTGTTGATGTTAAATATTTATATAGTGCTTTGCAGAGCAAGATAAGCAAGATAACACAAGGACCATAAACTCTGAGGTTTGTTAGTAAGAGAACCATTAAATTTGATTTGACACAGCAGGAAATTAACATGATTTTTAAAACAAACATATGGCTGAAATATTACCATAAATAAATAAGTGCTTTTTATATGGATGACCAATCTTCATGTATATACTATTTTATTTATGTTAATTTAAGAACCCTCTTAATGTTTTATTTCTAATCAGGTTCAGTTCAATAGGATTCCCAGAGCAGCTTATAAAAGAATTACAACCTGAAAACACATTTAGGTAGCACAGTAAACAAAGAAAGCAACCTAGGACAAGAAGTTAAATTGTATGTATTTGAATGTGTGAGCGGCAAAACCCGGATGTAACCTGTTCTGGTACTTCCGGGTTGCTGCAGGATGTAACACAAAAAAAATGCAACATGAAGCAGATACAACACGAGTTATGACTTTATCTCTATATCATAAGAATATATGAAGGGTCCAGTTGGATCAGGCCAAAGGCCCATCCACCAACGGCTTTATGGTTCTTTGGATGCTAATATTTCATGGTACATCTGTGGCCATTAGCGAGATTACAAAACATGTTTTTCCTCGGTTAGGAAATAGTGTTCTTCTATTGTCTTTACCTTAACATCAAATCAAGCTAACTTCAGAACATCTGCATTATTTGGATTGTCGCATTTAAATACATACAGCATTAAAGCCAAGTGTTAGTGTTCAAACTCTTCAGTTTTCAAGAAGCAAATTCAAGAACACCTATAATTTCAGCCAGCAATGCCAATATACTATGTCAGATTGCCAAACCCATTTGGAACCAGAATCTTTGGGAAATGTCTGAAGCAAAACAGTGCACTTGAAAGAAAGCCAAACAATTTTCTGAATAAAATAAGCCGAGGGTGCTTTGTATATATAAAACAAACTTACTGTTACGTGATCAAAATAAAAAATGAACATTACCTAAAACTCATTTGGTGATGCTATCAAAATAAAACTAAGTACACTATTTTCCCCCATGTGTGGTTTATTATCATTTTGTTGATTCAAACTAGAGAAAGTAGTTTTTGATTTATAGTCAGATCCATGGAATTAAATAAATTGTGCCTAGCTACATACATGTCATGAATATTTTCTGTTCTTACATTATAAAACAGGAACCTTGAACAGCAACGCTGATGCTGTTTTGAAGAGATAATTTAGAGCAACATGCTTCCAGGGACAAAAGGACAAGACATGGTTGAGACACAAAAGAAAAATACGTAGGAAGCTGTGATGGCAGGCATTAAGAAAGCAATTGAGGTTGTAAAATAAAATAATAATAAAGTGGCCACTCCGATTCTCCTCCCTTAGGCAGAAGGAACATAAAAAATAAGCGTATGTGCTGTAGAGCCCTTTGTTGAATTTTTTATACCATGAAAAGAGGCAGTAGCAGAAAGAAAAACCCTAGGACCAAGAGCAGTGACCCAAAAGGCTATTTTGAGCACATCCAAAGGCTCAGCTACTGTTTTTAGCAGAGCCCCTTCCCCTTCCCCACTGACCACCAATGCAAATTTCAAAAGCAGACAAGCCCCAAACTGCATGCCTGAAGTAACCCTCTGAATTTCAGCCAATATTTTGTTCCACAGATCAGCCATGATATTTTGGGCACATGGCACACTACCTGTGAAGTTTGGGGCTTTAAAAAAATATAAAAACACACTTATTCATTACTACGACAAAACTACCCATGTGATAGCTCAAAAACACCTATTTGTCGTTTCTTCAGCAGAAAGCATATTTACAGCTCAGAGATATGCTTGCTTTGAGTCTGCCCCATATGTAATTTGTTGGGCCAGGTGATTAATAAAAGTACAAAACCTAAACCAAGGCCCCATTCTGAGCCCTGCAAGGGCAAATGGCTTTATCATCATTTTGTTATGCTTCTTGTCGTCACCTTAAAAAATATCCATATGAAGTTGCACCGTACAGACAATAGGAAGTCCATTGCGTTGTTCACGTTTGCTTGAGCGGTGCAGGAATGTTAGCCGACGCCTGCTCTAGATAGGCTAAGGATCCTTGAGGCATTTCAGCAGGCTTTTTGTGCTGGACATTGATGTCTTCCAGAACCTGCTGCCAGTGTCGCAGTTTACCCAAGTGCTTCTGAATTAGTGCTTCCTTCCTCTGCAGTTCATTTCTCAGCTCTGAAACATCCTACAGGAGAGACAGGTACACAGGAAATTACAAGCAACAAGGAATCTCTTTTATGTAAGATCTGTTCCTATGCAACTGAAGAAATAATTCTCACGGCAAGCTATCCTTTCTGTTGTCACAAGAGGTTATATTCTTTTTAAATATTCGTAGGATGCAAGTTTCAAAAGAAAAAGTAACATCTATTTCCCTCTCTGGACAATGCATTTCTTACAGGGATTTTGATAAGTGTCAATCTCTTCCTCTGTACGAGTTACTATTTAAGTGCGGTTTTAATGACTCTGAAATAGACTTTCAACCTTTGGACAAAGCTCTGAAAAAGGGAAGGATGACAAGACACATACAGGACGGGTGCTTGGAGCAAGACAGTGTTTTCCAATATCCAGTTATGTTTCCTCCCCCCAAGCACATATATAATATTTTGAGTATTTAGTGCACTTTGCCCATATTCCTGCAGTTAGCTTTACAACACTGAGACCATGGCAGAGGCAAAATGGGGCATTCTTGATGCTCAGCTCAGCTGCTCAGCAATTACACTTAACTCTCCACACAAAATGAACATTTGTCCTTTTCTTAGTTACCATCAAGAATTATGCTGTATATTGGAATGCATACCTTGCAACTTTAAAGCAACGTCTGCCTGCTAAGAGTTGATTAAAACATAAATTACTTTAGTGTGGTCAGAGTGTTAAAATTATGCTCCTCAGGACGGAGGCCCAACGACAAATTTTCAACACGCTCTAACCAAGGTTTTCTGCAAATTTTGCAGTTGATTCATTTCCCCCAGCAGTTCTAAAACTACTACACAAGGCAAATGTTCCCTAAAACGGTACTCCTAACCCCACATACCTGAGAGTAAGCCCACTGAATTCAACAGGACTTACTGCTGTGGAAACCATGGTCAGGATTGTGCTGCACTAATCTGAACACATACAGTTATGGGATTGTTTGGACAGGAAAAAAAACCTCCACCTGTCTGTTACTGCCCAAGTAAACTGTATGTGGATTTACCGTATTTTTCGCCCTATAGGGTGCACTGGCCCATAGGGCGCACCTCGGTTTTTTTTTGGGGGGGGGAATAAAAAAAATATTCCCCCCCACAGCCGCGGGGCTAGGGCGGGGGAAGCCCGAGCTTCCCCCGACCCCAGAACAGGCTGCTATCCGCAAGCCTTGCGAGCCCGGCAGCAACTCCCGCTGGGCTCGCAAGGCTTGCGGACATCTGTGCGAAGCACGGGGCGCCCTCCGGAGCGCGCCCCGTGCTTCGGGCTGCAGGCTGCTGCCCGCAAGCCTTGCGAGCCCGCGGGAACTCCCGCCGGGCTTCCAAGGCTTGTGGATAGCTTCCTGAAGCCTGGAGAGCGAGAGGGGTCGGTGCGCATCGACGCCTCTCACTCTCCAGGCTTCAGCGAAAGCCTGCATTCGCCCCATAGGACGCACACACATTTCCCCTTCATTTTTGGAGGGGAAAAAGTGCGCCCTATAGGGCGAAAAATACGGTAACTCCATTGTATTAATAAATTATTTTTATCCATTTAAGACTGAACTAAATGACTGAATCAAAGACCAAAGTATCAGTCAGCATATATCTGCTTACTTTGTCATAACTGTGTATAGATTTAGATGTCATGTTCAAGCCTAGAGGAAAACCCAACACGTACCTCTTTAATTACTTGCTCTGGTTTCTGGACACATAGCTGCAGCCTTTTTTGTAAGAAAAAGCATTCTGTTTGCCGTGCAACATCTAAAAATTTCTGGATACACTGGTCAACGCCTAATACACAGAGAGAGCAACAAGATTTCAAAGTTATTCCACAGGAAAATTGAATATTCATAATTTTACAAACCAGTTACGGACCAGACTGTGATATGAGCAAAGTGAAATTTTTTGGCTAAAATTACTGCATTCTTAAAAACTTGCAAAAGTGAGGTTTGTATAAAGTAGTTCATAGTTTTAACAACCTTTTTTTTAAAAGGGAAAAAACAGAATGTTCAAAGTCAGGCAGTGGGCTGATAAAGAATACATAGGAACCTTGATTTTGCATGTTGTATACATAGTCTGCTAAAAATATAACCATTTGAACAAAAGAGTTATGTAAAAATAGTAATTAAAACAAAATTTCTGATGAGAGAAAAAAAGAATCCTTCAGTTTTTGAATAGAAATCACAGGTGTGATTTTACTACATGCATAAAAAGTTTTACCTGTGTAGAATTCAAGTGATGGAGTTTAAGTGCATAGTAGCACCATGATTCTTAAACTGTATCACAAAGAGGACTAAACAACATCTTGAAAACTTAAGCCAATGCATATCAGATGCATCTGCCAATCTATGTCCCTCAGAATGTCAATATGTAAGTATGAGCATCATCCCAAGGGCAATAATAAATATTCAACAGGATTCCCTGATTGAGCCCTCCTGTAAGATAATCAGTAAAATGTGCACAAGTAAAATCTGCTTCTAATTGGGAGCACCAGATGTGGTCTAGCTACCAATGGTTTGGGAAACACCAAGTGAACAACTTTCCAGCCCTACTGATTTTGCATAATCTAATTTATTTTACCTTAAGCAATTAAAAATAATTGGTTGGATTATTCCAGAGGACTCTCAAAAAAGCTTACAATTTAAAAACCATTTAACCAAGCAACATCATAAAAAAGCAACAAGAGATAAAAACTAAAGCAGCAAAATAAATAAAATATAAGTTAAAATGAAGATAGAGGTACAGGCTTACCAGTTCTAATTTCTTCCTGGTCTGTACCATTGACATAATCTTGACTCACGAGAGAAGCAAAGCAAGCCTAGATAATTAGAGAAATATATAAAAGCAATTACTATAAACAGAAGGACATTCACAGTGTACATGCCATTATGAGTATACAGCTTCCCCTTGTTTCCCATGAGCAATGCTGAACCGTCAAATGCATTTTTGCTTTCTAGGAAAAAACTCGCGGGCTTTTATTTCACACGCCAATAAATGAAACATCTTTCTCCTCGACTGACAGAGATTTATATCTGCCTTAATGATGTAACTCCTCCTGTCACTTTATAAACACAAGTATATAGAAAGGGGGGAGTGGTGAATGGGGGGGAAGGGGCCATGTATTGTGAGATCCAACTGAATCTTCAGGGCTAATAGATACTACAGTGGTACCTCGGTTTAAGAACAGTGCTGTTTACAAACTACAGTCACACCTCGGGTTACAGACGCTTCGGGTTGTGTGATTTTGAGTTGCGCACCGCGCCGAACCCGGAAGTACCAGAGCAGGTTACTTCCGGGTTTCGGCGCTTGCACATGCACAAAGTGCTAAATAAGCGCCGAATCGTGACACGCACGTGCGCAGACACAGCGCTGCGGGTTGTGAACACTGTGGCTTGCGAACGTGCTTCCCACACAGATCACGTTCGCAACCCGAGCGTCCACTGTATTTGGTTTACGAACTCCGCAAAACCAGAAGTAGTGTCCTGGTTTGTGAACTTTACCTCAGTCTATGAACGGAAGCTGAACGGTGGAAGGGCACCAGCGGCGGGAGGCCTCATTAGGAAAAACACACCTTGGTTTAAGAACAGTTTCAGTTTAAGAATGGACTTCCAGAACGGATTAAGTTCATAAACTGAGGTACCACTGTATAACCATATAAAGACTTTTGGTTTCAACAACCAAGCAGGACTGGATACAATAAATACTGATAAGCAAGAGCACACTTCTTATTAAAGGCTCTAGAGCAGGCATGGCCAAACTTGGTCCTCCAGCTGTTTTGGGACTACAACTCCCATCACCCCTAGCTAACAGGACCAGTGGTCAGGGATGATGGGAATTGTAGTCCCCAAACAGCTGGAGGGCCAAGTTTGGCCATGCCTGCCCCAGAGGGAGGGCTGCTCCACTGGAGAAACAAATGCTAGAGTCTAGAAACATACTCCACTACTATGACCCTTCTGGCCACTTCCAGTCTAAAACTGGTTTGACAACTTCCCAGTGCAAAGCAGCAGATCTCAGATCAATGCCACTCTCTGTCAATAGCAATAGGGGCCAGCAGGAACTTTAAAAGTCATCCAAAAATCCAGGCTGTGTTGCAAACAATGATGCCTTTTCTCATTTTTGACTACGTTGAAAGGCACCCCAAGGGTCTAGTCCAATCCCCTGCAGTGCGGAAATCTCAACAAGCGGTCCTCAATCCAATATGGAACCCAAACAGCCCCCGCTTAGCTTTGCAAATGTCCGCGCATGAAGGATTTTTGGCTAGGAGTCCAAAGGAGCCGCAGCCTCGCCTCCAAACCTGAAAAGTTAACATGGTGTGATTACATATAAGGGTCTTATGGTGCCTTGCAGTGTTTTTCAAACTAGGGTCCCCAGCTGTTGTTGGACTACAACTCCCATCATCCTTAGCTGGCAGGACCAGCGGTCCAGGATGCTAGGAGTTGTAGTCCAACAACAGCTGGGGGCCCAACTTTGAGAAACACTGCTTCAAGGCTAACAAACATTATTCTGTTCTGAAGTGGACCCTTGTTCCCAAAAGCATATGCCATCACAAGCATATTGATCTTTCAAGGTGCTGCTAAGACAGCTGGTTGTTTTGGCAGCCACAGGCCAGAACAGCTGTCCCCCCAGAAAGAAGTTAACACTGCAGAGCCGCCATCAAGCGACTCACACTGCAAAGTAATCACGTGTTTGCTTTGGCAGAGCACTTTCCCCCTTTTCTTCTTCTTCCTAATTGTTTAAACCAATTCATGAACCAAGACCATATACATTGACCACTAATAATGAAACATATGTTGTGGATATCTTCCCACATTTATTCTCCTATTTTTGTGATATACAAATGACATGAGAAAACTTGGTATACTTATTTGTATAGCATTATTCTTGTTTATAAAACCCATTTTTTTTTAAAAAATGAAAAACTAAAATGTGCAACAATAACAATGTATCATCCTTAAAACTTATAATGTCTGTCATTAATGAGGCCTGAATTAGAAAAAGCATAAAAGACCTGAGATAGAAAGAGTGTTTTTAGGATTTGCACGGGCAAAATTCCCTTCTGGCTCTTGGGATTCGACAAGGGGGAAAAAAATCCTCCAATGTGAGCCCGAAAGCTGCTCCGCACACAGGACATGTCCGAGTCTACAGTTTTAGAAAGTCTATGTCCCATCACCTCCTGGCAAATAGAAGGGGGAGAAATGGAGGCAGTGAGAGATTTTACTTTCTTGGGCTCCATGATCACTGCAGATGGTGGCAGCAGTCATGAAATTAAAAGACGCCTGCTTCTTGGGAGAAGGGCAATGACAGGCCTAGACAGCATCTTAAAAAGCAGAGACATCACCTTGCAAACCAAAGTCCGTATAGTTAAAGCCATGGTTTTCCCAGTAGTGATGTATGGAAGTGAGAGCTGGACCATAAAGAAGGCTGATCGCCAAATAATTGATGCTTTTGAATTATGGTGCTGGAGGAGACTCTTGAGAGTCCCATGGACTGCAAGAAGATCAAACCTCTCCATTCTGAAGGAAATCAGCCCTGAGTGCTCACTGGAAGGACAGATCCTGAAGCTGAGGCTCCAATACTTGGCCAGCTCATGAGAAGAGAAGACTCCCTGGAAGACCCTGATGCTGGGAAAGATGGAGGGCACAAGGAGAAGGGGCGACAGAGGACGAGATGGTTGGACAGTGTTCCCGAAGCTACCAGCATGAGTTTGACCAAACTGTGGGAGGCAGTGGAAGACAGGAGTGCCTGGCGTGCTCTGGTCCATGGGGTCACGAAGAGTCGGACACAACTAAACGAATAAACATGTCCGTATTAAAGGGGGGGAGGGAATTGTTGAAACAGGAACCGGAAGTACAGACAAGCTCTGTTTACCATTGTCCCCGTCTCTATGGTTAGGAAGGCCTCTTGTTCGAAGAGCACCCCCGTCCGAGGGAGGGACACGGCAACGACCCTTTCCCGCTCACTTTCGTTCACCCCCCCCTTACAATCATGGTACCTTCCGGCTCCCGCCCGCCCGCCGCGGCCTACCTCGAAAGACGCCTCCAGCTCGTCCACGAGGGTGCTGTTGGGGTTCCGCGGGCCCGCCGGGTTCGGCGGGAGGAGGCCGGCTGGCCCCGACACACCGGGGGCCACGGGCGGAGGAGGCGGCGGTGGCGGCGGAGGAGGGACAGGGCCCTGGTTCCCGAACATTCCGCTCAGGCCGGCCGCCATGGCAACGGAGCGCAGGCCGGAAGCAGCCAGTGCGCAGGCGCGACTGGGGAACGCGGTGACGCTCGGGGGCGGGGTGACGTAAGCGGAGGGGGCGGGGCCTTGGAACCTTTGTATTTGGACTTAGGTGTTATGTATCAATAATTATTTACGACTATATAAATCCTTCATATATTACTGTAATACAGTATATATTATCTGTAATGTTTTATACACACATATATTAAAAAAACCGCAAATCATTTAAAAAAATTAAACATTAATAGAATTAAATCTATATATTTCTATTTATACTTATATTGTTTTTTGTGATTGGTGTGGCTTTTACCCATGGTTTAGTTAACCATTAAAAAAAATTGAACATTAATAGAATTAAATCCATATATATTTATTTCTATTCATGCTTATATATATTTTTTGCGATCGGTGTGGTTTTTGCCCATGTTTTAGCTATGTTCTTATTTTATCAATAAGTCGCTGTGAGGGGAAATGGCAGAGTATAATTATACTTTTAATTGGTCCTAAGGCAGGCTTACAAGTAGCCTTCAAGTAGCCTTATTTTAAATCCCATCCATATTTTTTTCAGTGTTGAATACGTCATTTTTAATTCCATGCATATGTTCGCTTCCTTAAAAGCGCTGAGTAATGATAAGAGTATGTTTCCAGTACGGAGTTTGCTTTCGTCTCTATCCCTGCAGCTAGTTTATTTTCAGTGAAAGCCACCATCACAGTTCCAAAATCACTTTCTCAGAGAGTTGCAGCTAGTTGGCAGTTTGGGGCTTTATGCAACATTGTGCATCACTTTGCCCTTAGATTAAATAATATCTGATCTGAGCCAGGCTGCCAATTCAGCGGATATGGAAGTATTAGACTGTGATCTCAATGGCAAAAATTGTAGCTACTAGGTGTATTTTATCTTGGACTGCTGCAATACCTTACCAAGCAAGATAAAAGCAGGTGCTTCTGGCAACAGATTACAGGATTTACTCATGAGGTAGATACATGCAGACCATTTAGAGATCAGAGAAAAGAAGAATCTTTGAGAAAATAAAGCGCCCACTCTGCCAGTGTTGAACTAATGTATTAAAGTGCCTTATTCAAGCTCAGATCCTTGGCCCTTCTAGTGAAGGAAGGTGAGGACAGGTGACCTCACCTAGGCCCGAAGTCATCCCCCCCCCAAGCAGGCTCAAAGCTTCTCAAAGCTTTTCAAAATCATTTTCTCAGCAGCTAAGCATCAGAAACATTCTGCTTGCTGTAACTAAAAAGATTGCAACAAGGTAGAGTACAGAGCCCATTGTCTCAGAACCACATTGCAACTTGCTTTCTCTCCGGGAACCATGCCAAAGCACAAGAATGAAACAACGGGAACACTCTGAAAACCCCCTTGCCCCCTTTCCTGCCAAGAGTCCACAATAGTTCCAAGACAGCTTTCTGTACATGCTCAGGAACCTCAACATGGGGCAGGACTCCTGAGGGAGGAGAAAGGGGGAGGGAACTAGAAAGGGGTATATATGCTTGTGCACATGATTGTGAAGTCGTGCATGCTTTTTGTGACTTATCACACTTGCTCCTTCTACCAGTTCATGGATGGTAGAAATAAAAGCCTTTTCTCCGAACTATTCCTTGAGTGTCTGTTGACTCCCACTTCCCTTTCCCAGGCGCAATATTTTTCCCACCCGAGGGCAAAAGCCTCATAAGGCTACACTAGACAGGTACTGTTCGTTCAGACTAGCAAGCTACTCTCCAGAGTCTTGGGTAGAGAGGAATTTTTTAGCTCTATTAACAGAGGGTTTTTTGCCAAAGTGCCATGGATTGATTCTGGAACCACCTGCAGACAAAGCATGTCCTCTACCAGTTTCCCCGCTGTATCTTACGGAAATCTATTAAAGATGTCTTGTGAATCCTGGAATCCAATTTTACTTGGGCCTATTATTGGAAAAGGGACGCGGGTGGCGCTGTAGGTTAAACCACAGAGTCTAGGACTTGCCAGTCAGAAGGTCAGCGGTTCGAATCCCCGTGACGGGGTGAGCTCCCGTTGCTCGGTCCCTGCTCCTGCCAACCTAGCAGTTCGAAAGCACATCAAAGTGCAAGTAGATAAATAGGTACCGCTCCGGCGGGAAGGTAAACGGCGTTTCCGTGCGCTGCTCTGGTTCACCAGAAGCGGCTTAGTCATGCTGGCCACATGACCCGGAAGCTATATGCCGGCTCTCTCGGCCAATAAAGTGAGATGAGCGCCGCAACCCCAGAGTTGGTCACGATAGGATCTTATGGTCAGGGGTCCCTTTACCTTTACCTATTATTGGAAAAGCCAGTGCCTTTTGGAATTGGTTCTGATTTGTGTGAAGGATGCCGATACAAATTCTCACTACAGCTCTTTCCTCCCCACCCCCCACGTATTATATAACACCTATAAACGCATCCTTCCCAAAACCCACTTCCCAATGTATGAACAACAAGACGTTTTCAAATAGATATTTATTGTGACACTTTTAGTTTCCATTCAAGTTGCAAAACATGATAGTTCAAAGTGATCTCTCCTTCAATATTAAATGTCTAAACAGAATATTCGTATGTCTGTTCATCAGTAGAATAAAAAAGGGAAGTATAAGAGATCCTTGCTCAGTAAGGTTTTTTTTAACAAAATAAATTTGCAGTTCTTCATTGCATTTAGAAATACGCTGAAAAATCCATGTTGTGGATATTTTTCTTTCCCTTTCTGTTTAATTAATACACACACTGCTTCAGCAGTTTTGAAATTAACTCAAACTGATTTTAAGGCTTGGATTTTCTATAATTGCACATCTAACTATTTTCTGAATGCCTGCTTGTCTTGACTCAGTCGAGCAATAAACTCCACTAAAGTCCTTGTGGGCCGTCCTGCCATGCCCTTACGGAGGTAGGGAATCTCATCTTTATTTCCCATCACACCTGCAATATCTAGGTGAGCCCAGTGAGGGGCGGTCACAAATTCCTTCAGGAATGCAGCAGCTGTACATGCGCCACCAGATCTAATGGGAAAGAAACATAAAATATGAGTTTATTACTTTAATCTGTTTACTTATAGGAGTAAAGAATTATAAACCAAACTGTACAGCACCAAGGAGGGTCAATTCAGACATATCATCAAACCATGGTTTGCACCAGCAATAGTTTCAAATTCAAACCATAACTTGTGCTTCCAAAAGTGCAAAAGGAAAAATGGTTTGCCTGCTTTAATTTTCTCCTCTCAGCACTCAACTTTGTAAGTACACTCTCATCTTCATGGTACAGTAGCCTCCGGAAGCAGAGTTAATAGCTGTAACGATGGTTTATCACAATGCCAGGCCATAGTTACCACAAGCCATGATTTACAAACCCACCTCAAACATCTTTTTAAAATAAATCTTAGCTAATTGCAAGTTACAGTTGTACCTTGGAAGTCAAATGGAATCCGTTCCGGAAGTCCATTCAACTTCCAAAATGTTCGGAAAACAAAGCACGGCTTCTGATTGGCTGCAGGTCTAAACCACAGAGCCTAGGGCTTGCAAATCAGAATCCCCATGGTGGTTCGAATCCCCACGATGGGCTGAGCTCCCGTTGCTCGGTCCCTGCTCCTGCCAACCTAGCAGTTTGAAAGCACGTCAAAGTGCAAGTAGATAAATAGGTATCGCTCCGGTGGGAAGGTAAACGGTGTTTCTGTGCGCTGCTCTGGTTCGCCAGAAGCGGCTTAGTCCTGCTGGCCACATGACCTGGAAGCTGTATGCCAGCTCCCTCGGCCAATAAAGCAAGGTGAGCGCAGCAACCCCAGAGTCGTCCACGACTGGACCTAATGGTCAGGGGTCCCTTCACCTTTACCTGTATTTTCCAAGGTTGTTGATGTCTGCAAGCTGACAGTCCGTCATCTGTTTTGTATAATGTTCAAAGAGAGGCATCCTCCAAACACGGTCTCCTGTCAAGATGCTAGCCTACAAATGTAAATGCATTGTGAGTAAAGGAAGTCAGTAGCATGAAAAACTTCAACAGATACGATTGTTTCACTTTAAGTTCATAAACCACTTACTTGGTTGTAATAAAACCTAAGCAGTTTACCATGAAATATTAAAATCATCAGCAAAAACAGAAACACTTTTAGCAACATTTAAAAATGATTTTAACTGCCATTTTCTCCCCGACATCAATGAATGAGACAGGATCAGAGAGACCTGAGCATGGTGTCAAAACATCCTTAAAAACTGTAATTAAGGATGTACTATAGTGCTATATAATTATGTTTCACAATTGAAAGGTTCTTGCATAGCATTTTAGAATGGCCTTGTGCACCAGGCAAAAGATTAATCTAGCACAAAATGGAAGGAGGAAGTTCCACCAAAGAAGAATGGATAAGTAAGATAATAGACTATGCAGAACTGGCAAAATTAACAGCAAAATTAAGAGAATCTAATATTGAGTGCCTTGTGGAAGAATGGATGCCTTTTTTTGGACTTTTAAAGAAATATAGTATGATGTGAGCATGTTTGAGCTATAAGCAACAGAAGTAATTAGATTATAACATTGTGGTTATGAATTAGTTGATAGAAGATAGCGTGTAGCAGAAAGAAAGAAACAAAACTCCATGGAAAACAGAGTGGGAAGTCAATAAAAATAACAGAAAAGAAAAAAAAGTGTTTTGATTGTATATGTTTAGACTGTTGAAACTTAGTAAGACATAACGGGGGAAAAATATTACCCTAGCACAACACTCTGGGAATGGCTAAAACAAGCCTAGGAGCTTGCTCTCAACACCTAGTTCACAAGAGGTTTATAACCTTCCAAACAGAAGGTTCCATTTTTTCAGCTTTTGTGGCTAACAGTTGTTGACAGGTTCCCAATAATATTGGTCTAATACAGTGTTTCTTCTCAAACTTGGGCCTTCAACTGTTGTTGGACCACAACTCCCATAATCCCTGACCACTGGTCCTGATGGCTAGGGATGATGGGAGTTGTAGTCCAACAACAGTTGCAGACCCAAGTTTTAACACCGGTCCTTTCTTTAAAGCCCCTTAAGTTAGTAGCCATCTTCACATCTGTTTATCTGTGCTGCAAACATACCTCATACAGATAGTTCCACAGCTGGTGTGAATTGGTGAAAACCCCGGTAGCTGCAGATCCTAGTGCGATATCCATGGCACCTATACAATATTACACAGATCAAGTTATTAACCCATCATTTCATAGGGAGTTACAATAATCTCTTTTGCTCTCTGCTTCTAAACACATTTCTATGACCTACAGAAGGCATAATCTTACGTATTTATACACAGGATTGTGTCAGACTTTGGTTTGTTTCTGAAGATGCAATGCATTCCTACCTACAGTCTAGTTCAAAACGAATAGTGCTTAGCTGCAAACACGCTAAATCATGGGTTGTAATCTTGGCTTGTTTAAGTAACCTTTGTTTTAAACCAGGATTCTTGGTCTGCGAGTAATGCTAAGTCAAGATTTGTTGAAGAAAGTCAACTTGGCATAAATCCTCTTGGCTACATGGGAGAAGAGGGGAGAACGTGAGCCTGATACTGTCAGTTTGCATTTCTTTGTATTGATCTGATGTGCTTCTCACTGTACTTAATTCAAGAGGGTTACAGAAAGTGTGAAAGAAACAGGCAGAAGCTTTTTGTTTGGGTTATTTCTTCTGGGAAGCTGAGTACAGCTGGTTTAAACTGGTTCTGTTATCTTTCTGTCAAGATCATGCTGACTACAGTGGTACCTTGGGTTAAGTACTTAATTCGTTCCGGAGGTCCGTTCTTAACCTGAAACTGTTCTTAACCTGAAGCACCACTTTAGCTAATGGGGCCTCCTGCTGCTGCGCCGCTGAGCACGATTTCACATCCTGAAGCAAAGTTCTTAACCCAAGGTACTATTTCTGGGTTAGTGGAGTGTGTAACCTGAAGTGTCTGTAACCTGAAGCGTATGCAACCCGAGGTACTACTGTATAATAATCAGGCCAGAAGGAGCCTGGGATTCACTCACTCGCTTTCTCTTTCTATCTCTTTGTTCTGGTGTGCTGTAGTGTTAAGTCTTATTATAAGTATTGTTAAGTTTCATTGTAAGTGCTGCAACTGGATTTCTTACGGACTGTGCCAATCCTGAATGGACTGGATTTGTGACCATTATGTTCATTTGCCTTCAGCAGCAGTAAAAGCTCTGCTGGATGAAGTACAATTACCTCTGGTCTATTTTGGGGGAATTCTGCATTGTGCTTAAGTTTTATCCTCCCCAGAAGAGGCTTGGGCGACGGACACTTCATGCTCGCTGAAACCTTACATGCAGCGCTAGACTAGTTTAGCATGGCCTGGGAATCATCCCAACGCTATTCCACATCTGGAGTTGAATGCAGAAGCCAGAAACTTCAAAGAAAAAAATAAAAATAAGTACCTGTTAATGTAGCAGCATCTACAATAGCTCTTGGATTAAAACTGTGTGCGTAGCAAAGGGCATCCGCCAGAACCAACCTTCCTTCTGCATCTGTGTTGTCAACCTTTCAAGATGAGGAACACCCCCCAAAGTAAGAGAATGATTATTATTTTTTGCTTTATTTGTTCTTACACACCAACAAAATACAAAAAAGAGTATTTACGTCATTTGTTACAAATTACACCATTAACCAAAAAAGATAAATTTATATAATTGACAATAAATCTTCTTGTAATTCATTGACTTCCCATCTTCTCCATACTTCATTTATAGTCTACTAACTTTCTGCATAAACGTATCTATTTATTTTGAAGGGACGTGGGTGGTGCTGTGTGTTAAACCACAGAGCCTAGGACTTGCCGATCAGAAGGTTGGCAGTTCAAATCCCCGTGACGGAGTGAGCTCCCGTTGCTCGGTCCCTGCTCCTGCCCACCTAGCAGTTCGAAAGCACGTCAAAGTGCAAGTAGATAAATAGGTACCGCTCCGGCGGGAAGGTAAACGGCGTTTCCGTGCACTGCTCTGCTTCACCAGAAGTGGCTTAGTCATGCTGGCCACATGACCTGGAAGCTGTATGCCCGGCTCCCTTGGCCAATAAAGCAAGATGAGCGCCGCAACCCCAGAGTCGGCCACGACTCTGGACCTAATGGTCAGGGGTCCCTTTACCTTTATCTATTCATTTTACAGTAAAATATCATTTATCCTGTATCTTTATTTCTTTCTTAGTACAACTACAGAGGTTATTCAAAAGCAGTGACCAAGTTTAGACTTCCAACAGTTGTTTTTAAGATATGTTTTAAGAGGTTCCCATTTTGTAATAAATACTTGTTTGGACTTCTTTTTCATTCTTTCAGTTAACTTGGCTAATTCTGCGTACTCTACTAGCTCCTGTAGCCATTCTGACCTCGACGGGGTTTTATCACTTTTCCAATTACTCGCAATTAAAATTATCGCAGCAACGGTGGCATATAGAAAAATATATTTCGCCTTCGGAGGACTATCCGATCCTGAGATTCCCAATAAGAAGGCCTCTGGTTTTGATGATTTAATTAAAAGTAATATATGCCATAAAAAATTAATTAACCAGCCAACAGCTTAGCATTTCAATAGCCCTTTATAGCGTTCAAGACTCCTCACACATACTCTCTTAGCAATCTGACAGCAGCCCTATAAAGTTGGTCAGCACCAGTGTTGTTTTCCACTCACACTGTGAATGGAGAGAGGAGGGGAGGCTGAGGAATAATAATTTGCCTAAGGGCTCCTGGGACGCGGGTGGCGCTGTGGGTTAAACCACAGAGCCTAGGACTTGCCTAAACCACAGAAGGTCGGCGGTTCGAATCCCCGTGACAGGGTGAACTCCCGTTGCTCTGTCCCTGCGCCTGCCAACCTAGCAGTTCAAAAGCACGTCAAAGTGCAAGTAGATAAATAGGTACCGCTCCGGCGGGACGGTAAACGGTGTTTCCGTGCGCTGCTCTGGTTCGCCAGAAGCGTCTTAGTCATGCTGGCCACATGACCCAGAAGCTCCCTCGGCCAATAAAGTGAGATGAGCGCCGCAACCCCAGAGTCGGTCACGACTGGACCTAATGGTCAGGGGTCCCTTTACCTTTACTAAGGGCTCCTAGCATGGGCCCTTGGAAGCAAAATGAGGTGGTCGAATGGGGACCGAGTCAATTTAGACTGCATGTGATTGGGTGCAGCTTCTGTTACAGCATCCCTTTGCGCTAAAAACTCACTGCTAATTTTAAAACGAAATTCAACTCATCAGAGAGAAAGGGTTGAAACCAGCCCATTCCTTGTTGCTCTAGTTCCAACTGCAAGAAGGGCTGAATTTTTAATGCACAAGAGAGCATTAAAATCTAATGGTCTCGCTCAGCTTAATGTGATACCACCGGTCCAAATGCAGCTCAAACCTCCTTTGCTTACACAAGCATCTTAAAAACATACCTGAATTGTTTTCCCATTCATGGCCTTCACAACATCTCCAGGCTTGTTTGCCTTCCCACTGGGCATGTTTTCACAAAGGGGTGTCAAGCCTGAGATTGAGGGGGAAAGTCAACCGCTGTTGCAATTTGACATCACACTCCGACATTATTTGGCGTTTGTTATTAAAAGCTTAGTAATCCTGTTTTGAAGGGATGCAGGTAGCACTGTGGGTTAAACCACAGAGCCTAGGACTTGCCGATCAGAAGGTCGGCGGTTTGAATCCCCGCGACGGGGTGAGCTCCTGTGCTCGGTCCCAGTTCCTGCTCACCTAGCAGTTCGAAAGCACGTCAAGTGCAAGTAGATAAATAGGCACCGCTCCGGCGGGAAGGTAAACGGCGTTTTTGTGCGCTGCTCTGGTTTGCCAGAAGCAGCTTAGTCATGCTGGCCACATGACCCGGAAGCTGTACGCCGGCTCCCTCGGCCAATAAAGCAGGATGAGCGCCGCAACCCCGGAGTGAGCACGACTAGACCCAATGGTCAGGGTTCCCTTTACCTTTAATCCTGTTTTGAAGGTTTACCTCAAAGCTTTGATGAAACCTTTTCTACTACAGTGGAACCTCTATTTGCGACCATAATATGTTCCAGAGGTCAAAACGGGTCGTTGGGAGAGGCGCCATTGTGCACAGGCGTGGGCGGCAATTGCCCGCTCCTGCGCATGTGCGAACGGCGACTGTCACTCCTGTGCATGTGCGAATGACGGCAAACCCGCCGGTTACTTCCGGGTTTGCTGCAGTCACGACTTGGAACAACCATCAGAAGAGACGGTGGTAAATAGAGGTTTGACTGTACTGACATTTTATTTAGAAGATGTGTTCTTCCTTTGATGCCAAGTTATTGGAAACCAAGGCCCAACCTGTACCACACACTTAAGGCACTTTAAACCATCATGGCTTCTTCCCCCAAAGGATCCTGGGAAACGCAGTTTGTTAAGGGAGCTGAGAGTTGCTTGGGGTCCCCTATTCCCATCAAAGATCTACAGTTCCAAGAGTTCCACATTAAACCACTCTAGAAACTCTACCTTTGCGAGGGGAACAGGGGTCACTGAACAACTCTCAGCACCCCTAACAAACTTCAGAGAGGTTGGAGAACAAGCATGAAGCCACGGGGCAAACCAAGGCTGCAGGAAGGTTCAGGGAAGGACCATAGCTGTGGTAGCCAATGCGTGCTTTGTTCATGTGCGTGAGTTCCTACGCTCAACCCCATGGCTCTCCAGACAGCAGATCAGGGAATGTCTTCTCTGTCCAAGAACTTGGAGAGTCACACTGCCAGTCAGAGCAGTAAATCCGGGCTAAGTGGAGCTACCACACGTCTCAATATACAGCATGTTTGGAAAGCGTGTTACTGAAATACTGTGGGATGTAAGAATCAGGTGCAGTCAAACACAACATTGCTAGAGTAGACATGAAGGTTGTTTCAGTCCTCCAGCCAGAACTTCCTCCTTTGCAGGACTGAGATGAAACTTCCTATGTGTAACTTGAGACGGGTGTGCCTCTCAAGAAGCTGCTAGAACCAGAACCACAGGCTGGCGACCATCTTGTCTCTCTTGTCGCCATCTTAACAACAGCACTACTAAGATGCACCCTTGGCTCCAGGCCAAGAGAAGAAAAGGAGGGCTTTCTCTTATAAGGAGATAGTCACCCCATTTAAACTACAGTGGTACCTCGGGTTAAGTACTTAATTCATTCCGGAGGTCCGTTCTTAACCTGAAACTGTTCTTAACCTGAAGCACCACTTTAGCTAATGGGGCCTCCCGCTGCCGCCGCGCTGTTGGAGCACAATTTCTGTTCTCATCCTGAAGGAAAGTTCTTAACCCGAGGTACAATTTCTGGGTTAGCAGAGTCTGTAACCTGAAGCGTATGTAACCTGAAGCGTATGTAACCCGAGGTACCACTGTATGTTCTAATCTTTCAAGTCTGCCTTTTGGGAACCTTTGTGTGAACAGATGATTACTTATGAGTAAACGTTTTATACTTTACAGAAGACTGCGTAGCGTTTTATTTTAGGAGGGATTAAACGGGGAAAATACCAGGAAATATTTACAGAGACTCTAACGAGTCTGAGCAAGGTATCTGCTGTGCATGTGTTTAAAAAAAGGGGGAATGTTAACTCTGCTGACTTTGTTGAACTTGTAAAGACAAGTTGGGATAGGATATCTTAGACAATATATCCTCCCCCACATCCCTAAACATTCCCACAAATACCCCCATGGGTCTTTCTGTGCCTGGCTCCTTTTACGCATCCTTCACCCGCTCCTCCTATTCCACTTACCGATTAAATTAATGGGCAACTTCAGTTCCGCAGCTGTCACAATGGCAGAGCAGATGGTGGCTGCTCCTCCCATATCGGCTCTCATGGCATCCATGTTGGCAGACGGCTTAATGGAAATGCCGCCACTGGAGAAAAGCAGTCACACATTACCACAACCAGGCGTGAACGGAAGGCTCCAATTTCTGAACGCAAATGGCTGCAACTACCAACACCTCCCTTCCCACATCTTGCCCAAATATACCTTTGATAGAAAATGACCATTTTCCCCTTTCTAAAAAGGCACACCCATGGAAAACATGGCATTGTGTTGTGTACAGTTGTCCCTCCATTTACAAATCCAGCAGAGGCATCTGTGAATGGAAGGAGGGTGGGACGCTGTTTTCACAAATCCCCCCCTTCTCCTGCAGCTGCTTGTACCACCTCTCCTGTTCCAAGGGTCCCCCAAGATTCTGGAACAGATTGGTGGGGTCACAAAGAAGACAGGAATTAATAAAATCCAACTCCCACCTTCTACTGGCAGATGCCTCTGCTGAATCCTAGAGCCTTTCACGAATGCAAGGGCACAGATTACTGCTACCCCCTGTGCTATGGAGTCCACAAACTTGGCAGGAAAAATCTGGAAGCAGATACTAGATAACTGCCTGCGTTCAACTATACAACAAAAGCCAAATGTTCTCAGGGCAGTACACAAAGAATTGATTTCCAGGCGATACAAAAAATTCTGTCTTCACACATGCAAGTCACCGTTTCAGGATGAGAGATTAACATGTGTGAATGGGGATATAATTATAATAAATAAAACCAACATCTATGCTAACTATTGGATGATTAGTTTTCCCAATACTGGGTCAAAGTAATGTTGAATCACCTAACTGATTAATCATTAAAGAGGGTTAATCACCCAGTAACCCTGCAAATAAATCAACAGCTCTAACTGAAATATGTGTACTTTGGAGAAAAGGCAGTTCTCTGATTACTTCTTTCTTTGTTGATTAAAGAGAACACCTGACTGGATTTTCAGATTTTGCTTCCAAAGGTATGCACAATACTTACCTATCAAAAGTAATTCCTTTCCCAACAAACACCACTGGAGGTTCACTGGCATCACAGCTTCCCTTATAGTGGAGCTCCAAAAAGACGGGTGGTTCATCAGAGCCTTTGGCAACACTCAAGAACGATCCCATCTCTTTTGCTTCTATCCAGGACTTATCCCTGGAACAATGGAAAAGCATCCCCAGTTTGCAAAAGGGCACAAATTCAACTGCAGAGTCTCAATCTACAGTGGTACCTCGCAAGACGAAATTAATTCGTTCCGCGAGTTTTTTCTTCTTGCGAGTTTTTTGTCTTGCGAAGCACGGTTTCCCATAGGAATGCATTGAAAATCAATCAATGCGTTCCTATGGAAGCCGCCTTCAGACCAGGTCCGGGGACAGTCTGTCCCCCGACCTCTTCTGAAGGCTGGGGGGGGGGACAAGGGCTTTTCTTCCCACTGCCAGCCTTCAGAAGGCTGTTCTGAAGGCTGGCGGTGGGAAGTAAAGCCCTTCTCCCCACCTCCCACCCCGCAAGCTCCGGGGACAGGAGGGCTTTGCTGCCAACCGCCAGCATTTTAAAAGCCCCCGGAACAGTGGAGACTTCTCCGCTGTCCCGGGGCGATTTTAAAATGCTGGCGGGCGGCAGCGAAGCCTCTGCTGTCCCGGGGCGATTTTAAAATGCTGGCGGGCGGCAGCGAAGCCTCCGCTGTCCCAGGGCGATTTTAAAATGCTGGCGGGCGGCAGCGAAGGCTTCGCCCATAGGGAAATTCGTCTGGCGAAGCACCTCAAAAAACGGAAAACTCTTTCTTCTTGCGAGTTTTCCGTCTTGCGAGGCATTCGTCTTGCGAGGTACCACTGTATCTGCAAAGCTGTATCTCCCCCTGCCCCCCAAATTATAGGGCAATTACAAAGCAAAAGACCTAGTTTAACCTTTTGCTCTATTCTGTTTATAAGGCATTTTAAAAGTGATTGTCCTGCGGTTTTTGACCACAAAAGTTAAACCAAAACAGCCTTCTCTTTAAAGGAAGCTGGTGATGGATACAGTTCTGTTCTGTATATGAAAAAAGCAGCTTCTCTGTATAAGCAAGCTTGGGGCAGGAAAGGAAGGAGGCAGGGGAAGAAACACAGATGGAAAAGTGCCATGGGCAGTTGCCCTTTTGAAGTTTCTGGCAAACCATCCAGAGCCAATTTAGTAAAGAACAGTCCCAAAAATTCTGCTTTGATTGGGTGAACCACCAAAACTGAATTGAAAGCCAGGACTTTCCAGACAGCAAAGCAGAGAAAGATGTATTTACTTAAGACTTCATAGCAGTTGGAAGGTTGGTGGATTTTAATTGCTGCAGTATTCCCTTTGTGTGTTTTTTAGCTTAAAATGATAACTTGACAACAGCTATCAGGTCCCAGTGGTTTGACACATTGCATCAAACTTTTTCTGATGGCAGAAAGTGAGGAGGAATTAAAGAACCTTTTATTGAGGGTGAAAGAGGAGAGTGCAAAATATGGTCTGAAGCTCAACATCAAAAAGACGAAGATCATGGCCACTGGTCCCATCACCTTCTGGCAAATAGAAGGGGAAGAAATGGAGGCAGTGAGAGATTTTACTTTCTTGGGCTCCATAATAACTGCAGATGGTGACAGCAGTCACAAAATTAAAAGATGCCTGCTTCTTGGGAGAAAAGCAATGACAAACCTAGACAGCATCTTAAAAAGTAGAGACATCACCTTGCCAACAAAGGTCCGTATAGTTAAAGCTATGGTTTTCCCAGTAGTGATGTATGGAAGTGAGAGCTGGACCATAAAGAAGGCTGATCGCTGAAGAATTGATGCGTTTGAATTATGGTGCTGGAGGAGACTCTTGAGAGTCCCATGGACTGCAAGAAGATCAAACCTATCCATTCTGAAGGAAATCAGCCCTGAGTGCTCACTGGAAGGACAGATTGTGAAGCTGAGGCTCCAATACTTTGGCCACTTTATGAGAAGAGAAGACTCCCTGGAAAAGGCCCTGATGTTGGGAAAGATGGAGGGCACAAGGAGAAGGGGACGACAGAGGACGAGATGGTTGGACAGTGTTTTCGAAGCTACAAACATGAGTTTGACCAAACTGCGGGAGGCAGTGGAGGACAGAAGTGCCTCACGTGCTCTGGTCCATGGGGTCACGAAGAGTCAGACACGACTAAACAACAACAACAATCAAACTTTTTTGGACTACTGTAGCTGAAGTGAGGAAATTTATCCTTTTCCAATGGAGGACCAACACATGCCAATTCCCTAACGCTACCAGCAAAGATAACCCAAGGAGAGGTCTATGAAGCAGCGCTGACCCGTCACTAGGTCACAGCAAGCAACTGAAAGCAGGCACAAATCTAAGAGTTCTCACTCATGCCACTGTGAGAGAATTATTTCAACTGAACTTACCTTACATGGACAGTTGCATCTCTACTGACACTTTTAAGTTTCTTTTCAATAATTTCAGCAAATCGGGTAGGGGTGATGTGGTTGGCTGGACCTTCCATGAGGGATCTGGCCAAGTTCTGTCCCTTGGCATAGATAAGGCCTTTCCGCCAGGCCTCAGCTCCATCGCTAAACAGGAATACAGGAGGATAATCAATAAAATATCATCACAGAACTGAAATGCCATAAATCAGTGACTCTCCTTCTACCGGCAAACATTGCAGAACTGTAGAATTTTAAGCTGGTTGACCAGATGAACAGGGACAATCAAACCGCAAACATCAACATCAAAACCTTACTCTTGATATTTGAAAGGTTTGGGAAAGATAGAAAAAATTTGTCTGGTGCCAAAGAGAAATGAGGGCCGGTGCCAGGAGAACTTCACTAGGTAGAGACGACCACCCACCCAGTCATTATCTTCATCAGATGGCAGAGGCACCTAGAGAATAGTCTTCAAAGATGACCAGAGTTGAAGTGGGAACAGGTATTTCTTCCAGTTACCCAGACACCAAGCTACGGTATGTAGGCCATTAAAACTAAGCACCATATTCAAATGTAGCAAATGCCTGACCTAAATCAGTAAGCCACGCTTCCCGAGTCTAAATCTAACATTTATTTAGTACGAGTTGTATGTCAGGCACTACCCCAATATAGACAATGCTGGCATTTGAAGAGGACTTAGTTCATTTTCATTTGGAAGGTTTGATTCTCACTTCTCGTACAGATCTCATTAAAGAGTACCTTACTTTATCTATGCCTTAAAATGTAAAGGACCCCTGACAGTTAAGTCCAGTCGCGGACGACTCTGGGATTGCGATGCTCATCTCGCTTTACTGGCCGAGGGAGCCGGCGTTTGTCCGCAGAAAGCTTCTGGGTCATGTGGCCAGCATGACAAAGCTGCTTCTGGCGAACCAGAGCAGGGCACGGAAACGCTGTTTACCTTCCCGCCGGAGCGGTACCTATGTATCTACTTACACTTTGACGTGCTTTCAAACTGCTAGGTTGGCAGGAGCAGGGACCGAACAACGGGAGCTCACCCTGTTGCGGGGATTCGAACCGCCGACCTTCTGATCGATCAACAAGTCCTAGGCTCTGTGGTTTAACCCACAGGGCCACCCGCGTCCCTTACCTTTCTATAAAAAGGAAGTCTTTGCAAATAAGACCCTGGCATTTTCTTTTTGAACTCAAAAAAGGGGGTTCAGATTACACCCTCCATGCAATGAAAGAATGTGTCAACCAGCAACACACACAGTGCCCCCTGCTTTAAGCTGGCATGTGAGGAGGGCCCATAAGTATGCCAATATATGCACATACAACTCCTTTATGTAGAAGCCAGCCTGACTGGGAATGGTTGACCCTTTGTTGACACACACAGAACCCACATACTGGGGGAGGGGGCATGGCCGTTGTGGACATCACCAACAGCAGATGGGGCTAATCCATGTCTCTCCCCTCCCAAGCCCTCTTTACATATTCTTTCAGCATGTGATGACCCCTTTTTAAGGGAAAGAGGAGCAAGCACATTGACCCCGGGCACCATCCAAATGTTATTTCTCAGCCAATCACCTCCCATGGAGCTGAACGTCCACCACAGGCTTCTTTTTTTGCTTCAGTTCATCGTATTCGTAGAGTCCTAGGGCAGCTCCTTCCGCCGCAGCCTGAGCGTCGCCACAAGGGTCAACTTCCACACAAGGGACCTCCAAGTCCTGAACCTGCCTGCATCCAGCTGAAAAATAATATATATTTTCTTTAATTTTCAAAGATCTTTATTGAAGCTTAACATATATACATAATAACCAAAATTCCCAATGATTCCCTCACATAAAATATAATATCTAAATTACAACAGTTGCGTAATTATACACTTAATTATAAAATCCATCACCCACCCTCTACTTCCCTCCACAGCAATTCGACTTCTGTATACAGTGGTACCTCGGGTTAAGTACTTAATTCGTTCCGGAGGTCCATACTTAACCTGAAACTGTTCTTAACCTGAAGCACCACTCTAGCTAATGGGGCCTCCTGCTGCTGCCGCGCCACCGGAGCCCGATTTCTGTTCTTATCCTGAAGCAAAGTTCTTAACCTGAAGCACTATTTCTGGCTTAGTGGGGTGTGTAACCTGAAGTGTATGTAACCTGAAGCGTATGTAACCCGAGGTACCACTGTATTTCTTTCTACCTTTTTCCCCTTCCATTCTATAATAAATTATTTTTGTTAAATTCTGATTTTTCTTTCTTTCTTTGTTTTGTTCTTGCTTACATTTTTTATTCTAAGCCTAAAAAATAATATACACGTTTGCAAAACATTAAGAACTGGAGATTGGTGGGGGAAAGAGAAAGGAAGGGAACGGGCAGATTTTTAAAATTTAATCAGGCTCCATCTATCCGGTATTACAAATCAACTCGGTAAAGTTCATGTCACCAGTTAAGACAACTCAAAGGAGAAGCTGGTTTATTAATATATGGCCCATTAGTGCACTTGGGATACATTTATCAAGCAACTTCTACCTGCAGGTAATTCAGCAAGAGTGAGAGATTGCCTCACCCACAATTGGCCTGTGGCAGTGATGACTGAGCAATTACAACAGGCCAAAGTCTGCAGCCATTATTTTGAGCTTATGCCATTATTAGTACCTTGGGTGCTAGTAATGCTTATTTGGCATTTTAAAAAGCCACATCTGCAAGCAATGCCTGAGAGCGGTTTGATTTGCAGCGCAGGATACTCAGAAGTAATTCCTACTGAAATCTTTTGGACTTACCCTTGGGTAAGCAGGTAAAAAGCAGAGACATCACCTTGCCAACAAAGGTCCGTATAGTTAAAGCTATGGTTTTCCCAGTAGTGATGTAAGGAAGTGAGAGCTGGACCATAAAGAAGGCTGATCGCCGAAGAATTGATGCTTTTGAATTATGGTGCTGGAGGAGACTCTTGAGAGTCCCATGGACTGCAAGAAGATCAAACCTCTCCATTCTGAAGGAAATCAGCCCTGAGTGCTCACTGGAAGGTCAGATCCTGAAGCTGAGGCTCCAAGACTTTGGCCACCTCATGAGAAGAGAAGACTCCCTGGAAAAGACCCTGATGTTGGGAAAGATGGAGGGCACAAGGAGAAGGGGACGACAGAGGACGAGATGATTGGACAGTGTTCTCGAAGCTACCAGCATGAGTTTGACCAAATTGTGGGAGGCAGTGGAGGACAGGAGGGCCTGGTGTGCTCTGGTCCATGGGGTCACGAAGAGTTGGACACGACTAAACGACTAAACAACAACAACAGCAAGCAGGTACAGGAGTGCAGCCTGGGTCACTAGCTCTAAGAGGCACTAGCCCTGAAACCAGCAAGTATCTTCAGAATGCAGCACATCCCATTTAATAGATTACAGAACAACTCACAAGAAAAGAAAAGAAAAAAGTTAACCTGCAACAGCTGCCCGTATGTTTTCTTTGTCTTCATTCCAGTTTTCTTGGTCATTCACTCCGACTGCCTTCTTGCCCAGGCCAACAACAACTACGCTTGAAAAGTCCTGCAGGAATCCAACAGCAAAGAAACTTATTTAATCCTTTCAGGAAAACCAACGACACCCTGTAATTACGAAGAATACTTTGAAATATGTTTGTGTTGCTTTTTCGTTATTAGCATGCCAGAATACACTAATGCTCCCTTGCAGAAGCTCAACTGAAATTAATGGGAAGCTTATATTTAAGGCTCCACAGGGACCTGAACGTCTTAAGAGTCCGTCCCTGGAGATGAGATGGAGGAAACTGTAGGCTTCCAGATGTTAGACTTCAACTTCCATCAGCCCCAGCCTGGCCTATAGGTGGTCACTTTGAGGCAGCGCAACAAAGCACCTCCCTTTTTAATTTTTAAGAAAAGGTGTAACTCAGCATATTTGAGAAACTGCTTTTTAAAATTTGAGTTTTCTTTTCATCTGTATCATTTAGGTGTTGTTTGAATGGCGAACTACCTTGAATAAAGGAGATACACATTTTATAAAGTAAGAATCTGACACAGCCATTTACCGTATTTTTCGCCCTATAGGACGCACTTTTCCCCCTCCAAAAATGAAGGGGAAATGTGTGTGCGTCCTATGGGGCAAGTGCAGGCTTTTGCTGAAGCCTGGAGAGCGAGAGGGGTTGGTGCGCACCGACCCCACTCGCTCTCCAGGCTTCAGGAAGCTATCCGCAAGCCTTGGGAGCCCGCGGGAGTTCCCACCGGGCTCCCAAGGCTTGCGGATAGCAGCCTGTTCTGGGGGCTGGGGTCGGGGGAAGCTTGGGCTTCCCCCGCCCCAGCCCCTGCCTGGGGGGGAAATAATTTTTTCCCTTTATTTCCCCCCCAAAAAACTAGGTGCGCCCTATGGGCTGGTGCGCCCTATGGGGCGAAAAATACGGTAACTGGAAATCACAAGAGGTAAGAAACAACAATTCAGGACACTGAAAGGAAAACATGCCACATGATCACAAATCTACTCTTCAATCCAAACTTTTCCTACACACAAACATCACATGATCTTGCACCAGCCATGATTTCCAAACTTTTCAATCACCCATGCATGCTTTCTTTCTTTAGATATTTACTTAAACTTGCGCCACTGGGCTCTTGAAGCGGCTCTCAGCACAGATGAGAGTAACTGAAACCCTTTGCAAGATTCTTCCCTTTCAAAAATGGCGAAGAGGAATAGTGGGAAGGACATAAAAACTGTTTTTATATACACACATCCACCCAATTTGATCCTTCCAGTAGCACCTTAAAGACCAACTAAGTTAGTTCTTGGTATGAGCTTTCGTGTGCATGCACACTTCTTCAGATACACAGTGTGTATCTGAAGAAGTGTGCAAGCACACGAAAGCTCATACCAAGAACTAACTTAGTTGGTCTTTAAGGTGCTACTGGAAGGAATTTTTTTTGTTTTGACTATGGCAGACCAACACGGCTACCTATCTGTAACCCAATTTGATGTTGAAGAAGTACGACAGTAAGCCCAACGGTGAAACGTACCACAAAGGGTTATATATAAAAGATTAGCACCAAGCACAGGATTCCTAAGAATGACTTCAGGAGAACTTGGTGCAGATCCTGCGGGTCTGTTACACATTCCCTGCCAAGAAAACGCTTGCTCCAAAGCTTTTATGCAGTGCTCTATGTTCACACCAAAGACATAGTTTTCACTGTGTCCAGGACTTTTAACCCTGTGACCCCCTAGAGGTTACCGAACTACAACTCCCATCATTCCTCACTATTAGTCATGCCAGCTGTAGCTGAGAGGAGCTGGAATCCAACAACCTCTGGAGGGCCACAGATTCCCCGATGTTGCTCTAAGCACCTCAGGTCCACTCTACAGGAGATTGCATCATCATAATGTTACTCATAAATGCTGATTAGCTGCAGTAGATCACCTCAGAATAAAGAGATAAACGCTGGTTTCAGTGACATTCAAGCCAAGTTCCTCTTTATTTTTTAAAAACCCTCTTTATCTCAGTATTCCAGTTTTCTCACTCAGCATTAATTGTCCTATCTTGCCAATTCAGCATTAACTGTTCAACTGCTCTTATCTCTGAATTACCACATGCACCCAAGAGCCCTTTACTATTCCTGAAGCCTTACTTTTGAGGTAGCCTCAGAGAGCACCTAGCTATGAACAGCAGTCGGTTCTGCTAATTCCCCATGAAGTGGGGATGGGGAGATTTTAAAACACAACATGGGCTGCCTGGAGGAGCTACTTTCTTCTACTGCCCACATCCGTTTGAACCTGAAATGGTTTGGGGTGGGGGTGGGATTTTAATTCTCTTTTTCCCACCCTAGGTTCAGTGACACCTTATAAGGATTCAGTAGGAAACCCCACTCTGCACATGGACCTGCCAAAGTCCCATCTAGTTTGGCTGCATCCTGTTGGTTCCAGAGAATCAAAAACAAATACCGTAATTTTTGCTCTATAAGACTCACTTTTTCCCTCCTAAAAAGTTAAGGGGAAATGTGTGTGCATCTTATGGAGCGAATGCAGGCTGCGCGGCTATCCCAGAAGCCAGAACAGCAAGAGGGATTGCTGCTTTCACTGCGCAGCGATCCCTCTTGCTGTTCTGGCTTCTGAGATTCAGAATATTTTTTTTCTTGTTTTCCTCCTCCAAAAACTAGGTGCGTCTTGTGGTCTGGTGCGTCTTATAGAGCGAAAAATACGGTAGCTGCTGGAAAGGCAATGGTGAGATTTCACTTTCTCAGTGTTAAGATGGTATGGTGACCTTTGGGTGCATTTGAGCACGGGGATTATTGTGTCAGTTTCCCTGGTTACAATGCTAGTGCTTCCGTCTCGATTTCTAATGTTCCTTTTACACCACAACCGTGAGAATGGGAGGAAAGAAATGTGTGCCTGAAAACTGCCCCCAATTTTCTCCTGCGAGTGTGGGTCATGAAACCCCCTCTTTAGGAAATGTCTTTGGGTTTCAAATGTACTGAGAAGATCACTGCAGAAAAATGCACTTACAAATTACAAAAGGTAGATTTGGAAGTCCAAATCTGGAATGATACCATCATGTTATTTATTGACAAGTATCAAAGATTGGCGGGTGGCGCTGTGGTCTAAACCACTGAGCCTTGGGCTTGCCCATCAGAAGGTTGGCAGTTCGAATCCCCGCAACGGGGTGAGCTCCCGTTGTTCGGTCCCAGCTCCTGCCTACCTAGCAGTTCAAAAGCACGCCCCAAAGTGCAAGTAGATAAATAGGTACCGCTCCGGCGGGAAGGTAAACGGTGTTTCTGTGAGCTGCTCTGGTTTCGCCAGAAGCAGCTTAGTCATGCTGGCCACAGACCTGGAAAAACTGTCTGCGGACAAACAGCAGCTCCCTCAGCCAGTAAAGTGAGATGAGTGCCGCAACCCCAGAGTCGTTTGCGACTGGACTTAGCTGTCAGGAGTCCTTTACCTTTACCTTTTACCCGATGAATTGTGGAGCTATGGCTTTTTGACTGCTATACAGTGGTGCCTCGCAAGACGAAATTAATTCGTTCCGCAAGTCTCTTCGTCTTGCGAGTTTTTCGTCTTGCGATGCACAGTTTCCCATAGGAATGCATTGAAAATCAATTAATGCGTTCCTAGGGAAACCGCCTTCAGACCAGGTCCGGGGACAGTCTGTCCCCGGACCTCTTCTGAAGGCTGGGGGGGGGGGGACAAGGGCTTTTCTTCCCACCCCCAGCATTTTAAAAAAACCCGGGACAGCGGAGGGCTTCTCCGCTGTCCGGGGCGATCTTAAAATGCTGGCGGGCGGCATTTTAAAATCGCCCCGGGACAGCGGAGGACTTCTCCGCTGTCCGGGGCGATTTAAAAGCCCCTGGGAAGGCAGGCAGGGGGGACAAAGACTTTTGCCCCCCGCCAGCCTTCAGAAGAGGTCCTGGACCTCTTCTGAAGGCGGGCGGGGGGCAAAAGTCTTTGCTCCCCCCCGCCTGCCTTCAAAAGCCGTCCGGGACAGCGGAGAAACACGCTGCATTTCTCCGCTCTCCCGGGAAGGCAGGCAGGGGGGAGCAAAGACTTTCGCCCCCCGCCTGCCTTCAGAAGAGGTCCAGGACCTCTTCTGAAGGCGGGCGGGGGGCGAAAGTCTATGCTCCCCCCTGCCTGCCTTCAAAAGCCGTCCGGGACAGCGGAGAAACGCGCTGTGTTTCTCCGCTCTCCCGGGAAGGCAGGCAGGGGGGAACAAAGACTTTCGCCCCCCGCCCGCCTTCAGAAGGTGTTCCCTCCCCGCCGCCCGGCTTCGGAGCATCGTTCCGAAGCCGGACGGCGGGGGCACGTGTTCCCTCCCCGCCGCCGGGCTTCGGAGCATCGTTCCAAAGCCCGGCGGCGGCGGGAGGAGGCGTTCCCGCCCCACCGCCCGGCTTCGGAGGAGGTCCGAGGACAGTGGGGAAGACGCGCTGCGCTTCCCCGCTGTCCCGGATATTTCCCTATGGGCTGTCGTCTTGCGAAGCAAGCCCATAGGGAAATTCGTCTTGCGAAGCGTCTCCAAAACGGAAAACCCTTTCGTCTAGCGGGTTTTCCGTCTTGCGAGGCGTTCGTCTTGCGAGGTACCACTGTACTGCCGTGTCATGCTCATTTCCATTCACACCCATGACACAGCAGTGTATGTCTTTAGACAAGTCACCACCTTACCTGGGCAGGTGTGCTTCTGTTCCCCTGTTCAACCATGAGAATGGGAGGAAAGAACCGTGTGCCTGAATACTGCCCCCAAATTTTGACATGCAAGTGTGGGCCATGAAACCCCCTCTTTAAGAAATGTCTTTGGGTTTCAAATTTACTGAGAAGATCATTGCAGAAAAATGCAGTTACAAATTAAGAAAGGTGGATTTGGAATTGCAAAGCTGCAATCATGCTTATTTATTGACAAGTATCAAACACTGGATACCTGCTGATGTTCTTAATCTCCCGAGTTGGACAACCGTACATATAATATAGCCTTTGGTTGGGTGAGCAGTATTAGAATCAAAATATCTGAAAGTTCCAACAACTCTTGAAGCAATTAAGTCAGTTAGAAAGATATGGAATATACTAGCCATGAAAACCAGAGGAGAATAATAGAACAAAACTCCCAGAATTCTCCGGGTTAAAGTCAGTCACCAAAGAGAGAGAGAGAGAGGATTAAGTCAAGAAAGACTTTATTTTGTGGTCACAAAAGGTGAGAGCGCTGCTGGAAATAACACCACACCACACAGGAACTGCAGTTATAGCCATCTCAAAGAAAGGAAGAATTCAAAGCATCCAATCATAGCATTCTAAGGATACATGATATTTTAGGACACATTGCATACATCACTCCAACTCCCGGCACATGTGCATTTTGATTAGGCAGCCTTCAGCATGCTCTCTGCATGATAAGCTTGTAGACAACCGCCCATTGCGACTCCTTATTTCACCATACTTTGCTTAAGCAAGCATTACCCAAGTATTGAACTCCAATCATCCGAGTGTCTACTTCTGCACCTTTTTGCCTCACATAACTAGCGAAATAGTGCACATTACAAGTTCTTCATGTAGCAGACAGGCGGTTTAACCAAAGCCACTGCCATTCCCTTCATACTTACGGAGAGCACAGCAAAACCAAGGTAAATGGAAACTCATCAGTAAAAGGGATTTTTATTTTTTCTTTCTTAATATGAGTTTTCCCTTCACTTGGTTTCAAGTGGACTTTTTCCTGGAAGCAATTGACATGGAAATTAGTGCTAAACTTCCATTAGCTTCCACTAGAATTCCAAAAGTGACTTTTACACCACATGAAAGATCATATAAAACACGAAAATTTTCAGATAGGAAAGTGTCAGGGAGTTGGATAAAGTGCTGTCTGAATCTGCAATCTGATGCTGCAATCTGATACTGAGAAGTCTCATTGAATGCAATGAAATACTTTGAAATATTCGATGCATTGCTATTAAAAACAACAACTTTGGAGGCATAAATTAGATTAACATACTTAAGAAAACAGTAAATCCATACCTGATGCAAGCCATGAAAGATGCGGGTTTTTCCTTTCTTCAGTGGAGGTCCTGAACTAGAACACAAAACAAACATGAGATTAAGAGTCTCGTGGTCTTCCGATTGAGCTATCCCACGTTGTAAGCAGGTATCTGCTCCTCAGCTATGTCCAAGGCTTGCTTCTCCCTGGATGGTCTCATGCTATTTCATGACTGCCAAATAAACAGAAGGGAACCTGTTTTGGTACCTACATTGCCAGCAACTCTCTGAGCTTCCCAGACACGACTTTGTCAAAAGCGTCTCCTGCTTCAGTAAACTGGACGGGTCCCTCTTCTTTCTTGCCGACAAAGACTCCTAGGACAAGGCCCTTTAAAAAGAAAACAAAAAGAGGGTTACTTTTTAGATGCTGTCCTACAAAGCAAGTGCAAATTACTTCCAGGGGTTTGCGGGGAGTGAAGGAGGAGCTTTTAGTTGTTGTTGTTGGTTATTATTATTATTATTATTATTATTATTATTATTCCCTGCCCATCTGGCTGGGTTTCTCCAGCCACTCTGGGCAGCTCCCAACAGAACAAAAAAAGCGATAAAATATCAAACATTAAAAACTTCCCTATGGACTATAATGCTGTATCAACAGCCCCAGACCTAGTCAGCCTGACCGATGGTCCATAGCTGTCAACTTTTCCCTTTTCTTGCGAGGAATCCTATTCGGAATAAGGGACTTCTCCTTAAAAAAGGGGAAACATTGACAGCTATGTGATGGTCAGTGATTAGGGGAGAGTCACAAGCTTCTCGTCCCAGAGACAGAACAAAGCAATTCAGAAAACAGTCTAAGACCAGCCTTTCTCAACCTTCGGCTCCTGGATGTTCCTGAACTACAACTCCCATCATCCCCGACCATTGGCCATGGTAGATAGGAATGATGGGAGTTGTAGTACAATGACATCTAGAGACCTAAGGTTGAGAAAGGCAGGGCTAGACTGCAAAACAGTGGTTGGCAACTTCCATCGTGCAGGACCAAGAGCCAGTTTCCCCCTAACAATGCCATCTGCTCCAACCGGCCGCCATAATTACAGCCAGGTGTGGGGCAGGGAGTAACACAGCTGCAAAGGTTTCAAGCACACTCCCGATTGTTCCTTGGCAAGTGGGGTTTGCTGACGGCAAACTCTTTGAAGTTGTCCCTTTGGAGGTGTGATTTGGATTCGAGCACAGATAGCAGAAGGATGTGATTAGGAAAAAGTTGTAGCCATGTGGCTGAATTAAGGCGGTTGGCACTGAGATTGAGCCGAGCATGAGAAAATCAGGTAAGAAGAGCATTGCACAAATTGGGACATAGAACATTCTGCCTCCTGTTGAACCCAAGTAAAGGTAAAGGTACCCCTGCCCGTATGGGCCAGTCTTGCCAGACTCTAGGATTGTGCGCTCATCTCACTCTATAGGCTGGGAGCCAGCGCTGTCCGCAGACATTTCCGGGTCACGTGGCCAGCGTGACAAGCTGCATCTGGCGAGCCAGCGCAGTGCACGGAACGCCGTTTACCTTTCCGCTGGTAAGCGGTCCCTATTTATCTACTTGCACCCGGAGGTGCTTTCGAACTGCTAGGTTGGCAGGTGCTGGGACTGAACGACGGGAGCGCACCCCGCCGCGGGGATTCGAACCGCCGACCATGTGATCGGCAAGTCCTAGGCGCTGAGATTTTACCCACAGCGCCATCCGTGTCCCTGTTGAACCCAAGACCTGCAGGCAAAACGAAACTCAACGGAAATGTAAAATGGGATAGCGTAACATCAGGGAGACGGATTTTAATTGGTCCATTTGACTAATTTATTACTGCATGCCCCTGATTCATCAGAAAACAGAGACTGCAGACTGTAGTTTCTATAGCAAGTTCCCATTGTGGGTCTAAAGGCTGTTCTTTATGTAGCAATATTCTGTGTCATGGCAAATACTGAAAGGGCGATCTATATCACAGCCTGCAACTGCACAAGTTTAAACTAGTTAGCAATTCATGGATAAGTATAGGAGGGGGGTAAATAATGAGTGGAAGAACCAGTTGGGAAAACCAAGGAAGATGATGAGAAGAATGATACCAAAGTCCGCTTGGTTATTTATTGAGCAAGGAAAAGCCACTTGTCAACTTTTAAATGCTGCACTTTGCCTTAAAGAGCTTTGGAAAACCAGTCTGTGCACACACCTCGACTTCACTGAATGAGCCACTGAAAAACTACCTTTGTGCGAAACTTATTCGGGAATGAACATGCTAATCTGCAAGTAGTCAAGTAGTCTGCATATAATGTGTAAAGCAATATGGAAGTCTTTAGGATGGGAAATTGTAAGGCATATACAGTGGTACCTCGGGTTAAGTACTTAATTCGTTCCGGAGGTCTGTTCTTAACCTGAAACTGTTCTTAACCTGAAGCAGCACTTTAGCTAATGGGGACTCCCGCTGCTGCCGCACCGCCGCCGCACGATTTCTGTCCTTATCCTGAAGCAAAGTTTTCAACCTGAGGTAATATTTCTGGGTTAGCGGAGTCTGTAACCTGAAGCGTATGTAACCTGAAGCGTCTGTAACCCAAGGTACCACTGTATATCTGCACATCTAAACTGACCTACACATCCAAACTAATTGAAGTACCACTCTCTTTGTGCTGTTCAGGAAGATGTACACTGAACAATAGACACAGACATCCTGGCAGGACAGGCACGCTCATTGGGAAAGACGACCTTATCTTGCCCACCCAGCCCCCTTCACAGGGGAAAAGATCATCTGATCTGACCCGGTTTCTCTCTTCAGCTGTTCAACTTGCCTCAGCAGCATTCCTAAGTCCAAACTAGATGTTACAAGGGGTCCTTTCATTATTCTTTCCTCCCTCTCCGTTTTGTTTCCTGAAATCAAAATGGCCTTGGCAGGATACAGACCTGAAGAGAGGACAAGTACCTGGAGGAGCTTTTCCCTCTCAATCATTTTTCAGCTCAAAATCTGAATTCAACTTGCTTTTCTCCCCTGTCCGGGATGGGGGAGATATGAAAAGCAGCTTGGAGAGGCACAACCCCAAATTCATTCTCCCTGAGCTGCTTTTCACATCCTTGGACTGAATATTTTACAGAGATGAATAGCTTAAGCAAGCAGACTCTCCATCTCAAACTTGCCCCCTGCCCGGATTGCTTTTGCTTAAAAAATAAAATTAAAAAATCATTATACTGGGAAAGGGAAGAGAGACTGCCCTGTATTATCCAATATTCTTTTTTGTCGTTTTTTATTATTTCATTTTACAATGTATGGAAAACATAGAGAGCAATTATAACAGGTGAAATGTAATATCCAGTTTGACCAACTCAAGGCGCCCACAAATTATGAAAGCACTTGCAGAACAGAACGCAGAATTTATCCTTGTTTCACTGTTTACCCAGTACTCATTCCACATCCTTCACTTCATTCTGTATCCTGCATCTCCAGAGTCTCTGAGTCAATGTTTTTCAAGCTAAATAAAAATAAAAAGGCGCGACCCTGTTCCAACTAAGCACTTTTTAATACTAGATCAATTTCAACCCGAGTTGACTTTTGGGTGCCAGCTTAGTTCTTCCACTGAGACCAGGAGGACTTTTAAAAACACAATTTTAGGTGGCCTTGCCCATCAAAGTGCACCTCTGCCTAAGCCAGCTCATAAAATGCCAGCTTTCTGACAAGAGCAATGCTTCAGGAAAATATCTAAAACAAGCAGGCACATTTTTAATCTTTGTTGGAAGCCACCCAGAGTGCCTGGGGAAACCCAGCCAGATGGGTGGGGTACAAATAATAAATTATTATTATTATTATTAGTGGAAAACTCCTATTCATAGCACGGACATAATGCACATGGTTTGCACACTCTCCAGCCCTCTGCAAACATGCCATCAACCAGCTAACTGAACACTTTCCACAATTCCCCCCTTACCACGCACCTTATTTACACCCATGACACTGCCGTGTTGATCCGTTGCCAGCTGTATTTGAAGCTACGCACTCGGCAGAGTCTGCAGCCTTTATAGCAGAAGAGGGAGCCTTAGTCCCGCCTCTGCAACGTCTCCTAACAGGTCCTGCCCACTTCATTAACCATAAACACAGCTCTTTGAGGCTGGGCGTGGCCAAGAGGTGGAAGTTTGTGGGAAGATTTGGGTCCTTTCCAAAAACAGGCAAGCGAAAGCCTTGAGTTGTGTTTCTGATATACAGTGGTAGCTCTGGATGCGAACAGGATCCGTTCCGGAGCCCCGTTCGCATCCAGAAGCGAACACAACCCGCGTCTGCCGTCATTTTGACCATCTGCGCATGCGGCGAAACCCGGAAGTAACACGCTCCGTTACTTCCGGGTCGCTGCAGTGCGCGACCCACAAATACTTATCCCGAAGCTACTTCAACCCGAGGTATGACTGTACCTCGTTGCTCATCTCAATTTAGGTTGGCCCAAATAAACCAAGCAGAATTATTTCCAAGAGGTTTCTGGCTCCTGACAAGGACACAGTAGACCCACAGGATACTGCTCATGTTACAGAGACCCAAGACACAAAAGCCCCTCCGTAGCTACTGAATGGCCTTTATTACATAAAAACACAAGAGCCCAGCTGGATCACACCAGCAAAATAGCATGCATGATCCCCAGTAACTGACATTCAGAGGCACAATGGAAGTAATATATATCCACTGTGACATGGAGCCATTGAGAGCCTTATTTCCCCATTCATTTCAGAGGGACTTAGGGCATAAAGGGGAGTTCTGCTGGACTCACAGAAATTGTTCCACATATGCAATGGATACAACCCTCTGTTTGGGTTGCTACATTCACACAAAATGCTAAAACCAAGGTTGGCACTATCCGCAGAAACAAAATGGAGACAGTGGACTTGCACAGTTCACCCTAACCTCCTCCCACGCAGTCAGGAGGTGTGGGGTTCAATGCTACTTGCCCCGAATCCCAAGTTGTCTTTATGTGTGAACCTGGAATTATGATTTAAATTTCAAAATAAACTGCACCTCAAGGGGTGGGGAACCTGTCTGTGGCTGTTATAGCTGTTTCTGCAGTACAACTTCCACTGTCCCTCATGGGATGGGAGGTGCAGTCTAACATATGGTTACCAGACGTCCCCGTTTCCCGGGGACAGTCCCCAGATTTACAAATCTGTCCCCGGACAAAATCCGTCCCCAGAATGTCCCCGGATTTCATTTAATGTCCCCGGATTCATATTTTAAGTGTTGTAGATTTATTATTAGGGAATGAATGTTGTGTGATTGGTTCAACGGCACAAGACACATCATATGGGGGACTTCCGGCAAGGCAAAATAGCGGGCGCCACAGCAGCGAGCAGCTCCAGAAGCCAGCCAGAGCCAACTGCGCTACCAGGCTGGCTCCGGGCTGCTGAGACTGCCACTGCCACAGGGGAACCGGGAACGCCTGGCACATCAACTGGGGGGAGCCCCTGACCCCCCACCCACCGCAACCCAAATCGAGCCAGGAGAGAGAGAGAGCCCGGCCACCCGGCCGACTACCCAGTGGCGCTCCGAGGCCAGTAAAAACCCAAGAGCCGATGCAGGGAGAAGGAGGAGAGGAGAAGGAGAAGGAAGAGAAAGAAAGAGGAAGAGGAAGGAGAAAAAAGAGGGGATCCCTAACCTTGCTGCACCACTGAGGAGAGGTAGGAGAGCACCGGGAGGGAAAGGACACGTGGCCGAACCCAGGCCTGACCCGTGCGTACTCCACGGCAGCAAGCGCTCCAAGAGAGCAGGCTGGGCCCCAGAGGAAGGCCGCGTGACAGAGACCACAGAAGAGAAGATATTACTTCTTCTTTTTAAAAAATATCTCCTCCCCCTTTTTTTAAAAAAAAAGTGTCCCCAGATACTTTGGAAAAAAATCTGGTATCCTTAGTCTAACAACACCTGGCAGGTGACAGGTTCCCCAGCCCTACTCTAGCCCATTTCAAAACCTACCAGTTGCAACCAGTTTTGACCAAAATGGTCAAAGGCCTGGAAACGATGCCTTATGAGGAACGGCTAAGGGAGCTGGGCATGTTTAGCCTGGAGAAGAGGAGGTTAAGGGGTGATATGATAGCCATGTTCAAATATATAAAAGGATGTCACATAGAGGAGGGAGAAAGGTTGTTTTCTGCTGCTCCAGAGAAGCGGACACGGAGCAGTGGATCCCAACTACAAGAAAGAAGATTCCACCTAAACATTAGGAAGAACTTCCTGACAGTAAGAGCTGTTCGACAGTGGAATTTGCTGCCAAGGAGTGTGGTGGAGTCTCCTTCTTTGGAGGTCTTTAAGCAGAGGCTTGACAACCATATGTCAGGAGTGCTCTGATGCAGTGGCGTAGCGTGGGGGGTGCAGGGGGGGCCGGCCGCACCGGGCGCAACATCTGGGGTTAGGGCAAATCCACAGGTTAGGGGGCGCAAATCCACGGGTTAGGGGGCGCAAATCCACGGGTTAGGGGGCGCAAATCCACGGGTTAGGGGGCGCAAATTACTTGCCTTGCCCCGGGTGCTGACAGCCCACGCTACGCCACTGCTCTGATGGTGTTTCCTGCTTGGCAGGGGGTTGGACTCGATGGCCCTTGTGGTCTATTCCAACTCTATGATTCTATAACCGGTGAGCTCTGAAGCTGCCTTGCTTAACAGACTACAGTAGTGCCCCGCAAGACGAACGCCTCGCAAGACAAAAAACTCGCTAGACGAAAGGTTTTTTCGTCCGCGATTTGCCTCGCAAGACGAATTCCCCTATGGGCTTGCTTCGCAAAACGAAGCTTGCCCCGGGGACAGCGGGTCTTCTCTTTTGAAGCAAGGGGCTGCGGGGAGATAGCGATCCCCCTGCAGCCCCTTGCTGCAAAAGACGTCCGGGGGAAGCGGGGAAGCGAAGCGCTTCGCTTCCCCGCTTCCCCCGGACCTCTTCTGAAGCAAGGGGCTGGGGGGAGATAGCGATCTCCCTGCAGCCCCTTGCTGCAAAAGACGTCGGGGGAAGCGGGGAAGCGAAGCGCTTCGCTTCCCCGCTTCCCCCGGACCTCTTCTGAAGCAAGGGGCTGGGGGGAGATAGCGATCTCCCTGCAGCCCCTTGCTGCAAAAGACGTCGGGGGAAGCGGGGAAGCGAAGCGCTTCGCTTCCCCGCTTCCCCCGGACCTCTTCTGAAGCAAGGGGCTGGGGGGAGATAGCGATCTCCCTGCAGCCCCTTGCTGCAAAAGACGTCGGGGGAAGCGGGGAAGCGAAGCGCTTCGCTTCCCCGCTTCCCCCGGACCTCTTCTGAAGCAAGGGGATGGGGGGAGATAGCGATCTCCCCCCAGCCCCTTGCTTCAGAAGAGGTCCGGGGGAAGCGGGAAGCGAAGCGCTTCGCTTCCCCGCTTCCCCCTGACGTCTTTTGCAGCTGTTCCGAAGTGGGGCGGGGGGGGGTGGGGTCACCTGCCCCAGCCGCCCCACTTCGGAAAGCTGTTCCGAAGCGGGGAGGGGGGGCGGGGACATCTGCCCCAGCCGCCCCACTTCGGAAAGCTGTTCCAGGAACAGCTCCATAGGAACCTCCATAGGCGCCCGTCACCTCTCCAGCCAGGAGAGCGCGCGCGGGGCTAAACCAGCCCCCCGCGACCCTCTCCCAGCTGGAGAAGTGACGCGCGCCTATGGCAGGAGCCTCCATAGGCGCCCGTCACCTCTCCAGCCGGGAGAGCGCGCGCGGGGCTAAACCAGCCCCCCGCGACCCTCTCCCAGCTGGAGAAGTGACGCGCGCCTATGGCAGGAGCCTCCATAGGCGCCCGTCACCTCTCCAGCCGGGAGAGCGCGCGCGGGGCTAAACCAGCCCCCGCGACCCTCTCCCAGCTGGAGAAGTGACGCGTGACTATGGCAGCAGCCTCTGAAGGATGCACCGAAGCCTGGCGTGGGGGGGGGCGGAGAGACCTTCTCCCCGCGCCAGCCTTCGGATGGCTGTCCTGAAGACTTGGGGTGGGAGAAGGGTTTTCCTTCCCACCGCCAACATTCAGAATGCTGTTCTGAATGTTGGCGGTGGGGAGGAAAAACCCTCCTCCCACGCAAGCCCCGGGAACAGAGGGAAAGCGCTGCGCGCCTTCCCCTCTGTTCCCGTACCTGTGCTGAAGGCTTGCGGTGGGGAGAAAAGCCCTTCTCCGCACCGCCAGCCTGGCAAGCGGTTTCCCTAGGAACGCATTAATTGATTTTCAATGCATTCCTATGGGAAACCGTGCTTCGCAAGACGAAAAATTCGCTAGACGACAAAAATTGCGGAACGAATTAATTTCGTCTTGCGGGGCACCACTGTACTGGAGTTTCTTACAAACCACGGTTCCTGGTTAGGATGCAAAGGCAAGCCAAGGACAGGCACTGCATAGGACCTCCTCCCTAGTGTCGTTGGGCATGTGCAGAGTATCTTTTTTGCGCGAGAAGGAGCAGCTGTTTAATTCAACTAATAGGAGGCAGGGGGGTTTTCTGGCATGCAAAATTCTTGCAGCTCAAAGGGCTGGACTACATGACCCTCCAACTATACCATGCTAGGATTCCACGGAAGCGCAGTTTCTGGCCCATAAAGCCGCTTCCTTCTCATGCCGGGCAGGCCAAAGGCGCCCCACCGGGGCAAGCCCAGCATTTGCTGCGCCACCAACCGCGCGCCCCAGCCGACCTTCCCCACCCCAAGCGCGCAAAGACGCGCGTAAAGACGCGCGCTACCCCCGCGTTGCGCGCCAACACCTTTCTCCTGTCGCCAGCCGGCCGTTGCTCCGCCATGCTTCTCCGCCCTTCGCTTAGTCCCTCCCTTACTGCTCCCGGCATGCCCGCTTTCCCCTCCCTTCCCCGGCACCCACCAGCTCCCCCCGCGTCTCCCCGGGGCGCCCGAGGCTCGCTACCTGCTGTTTCCTGGCGCGCCGGGCGCCCAAGGACAAGGTGGCCACCGGGACGCGGAGCCCCTTGCCGCGGACCAGGAGGAGCCGCCCGCTCGCCAGCAGCGGCGCCAGCAGCATGGTCACCCCCCGCCGTCCAGCAGCGATCACGGGGCCGCAGCGAGAAGGAAGGCCCGCCTCGAGGAGAGCGGCTCCGCCGGCTGCGCATTCCTCCGCGCGCGCCTCCCCTGGGCCGGGCGCGCCGTTGGCTCTTTCACCGATGCGCCGCTTTGTCTCTGTATTGCTACGTATTGCGGTGAATCGGCTGGAGGGCAGTATACGCATTTAATAAATCGTGATGATGATAAAAATAAAAAGCGGCAACTTTCCCTCCGCGTTAAGAGGAGAAATAAAATTAGAAGCACCAATTAGTAGCCAGTCCAATTCCTGGCGCGTTGGTTGATCTAGTTCCCATCAACCTTATTTTTTCCCCCTTTTAATTTTTAAAAAATACTTTTCAAGTTTATACATTTCACTAGTTTTACAGTCATCTTGACATTGACTTCCTTCCCCCTCTTTCTGTGGTTCCTTAAATTTATTTTTAATATCTTCTGCATGTTGTTGTTGTTTAGTCGTTTAGTCGTGTCCGACTCTTCGTGACCCCATGGACCAGATCACGCCAGGCACTTCTGTCTTCCACTGCCTCTCGCAGTTTGGTCAGACTCATGTTTGTTGTTGAATAGTGGATAGACATGGCAGACGACACAGCGATTTCTCCAAAGCAGCTCTTTATTTTGTAAGCTGGAACAGAAACTGAACAGCAAACATCTCAGCCGGCCTGCTTTTATAGGCAGCCAGCTATCAACATTGTAGCAACAACAACCCAGGGTTTCCCGCCTAAAATAACTGAGGTGGACCTGAGTGAAAACTATCTACAGTATCCCCCTGCTGGCCCAGGGTGAGAACTTCAGTACATAACATTTGTAGCTTCGACAACACTGTCCAACCATCTTGTCCTCTGTCGTCCCCTTCTCCTTGTGCCCTCAATCTTTCCCAACATGAGGGTCTTCTCTTCTCATGAGGTGGCCAAAGTATTGGAGCCTCAGCTTCAGGATCTGTCCTTCCAGTGAGCACTCAGGGCTAATTTCCTTAAGAATGGAGAGGTTTGATCTTCTTGCAGTCCATGGGACTCTCAAGAGTCTCCTCCAGCACTGCATATCCAAATTATGCATATCCAAATTATGCATATCTTCTGCATATCCAAATTAATTTGCTCATTTATTCATCTTTTCATTTCATTATTCATTTACAGTGGTACCTCGGGTTAAGAACTTAATTCGTTCTGGAGGTCTGTTCTTAACCTGAAGCGCCACTTTAGCTAATGGGGCCTCCTGCTGCTGCTGTGCCGCTGCTGCACGATTTCTGTTCTCATCCTGAAGCAAAGTTCTTAACCCAAGGCAATTATTTCTGGGTTAGTGGAGTCTGTAACCTGAAGTGTATGTAACCTGAAGCGTATGTAACCCGAGGTACCACTGTATTCATCATCTTTAAATAATCTTATGAAACTGCAGGTCATTACAATAATCCTGCCAATGTTTTTATCGGTTTACAATTTATCTGTAAATATTCAATAAAGCATTTCCATTCTTTTATAATTAAAAAAAGTTTGTTATCTTGATTTCTTATTCTTCTGGTAAGTTTCACCATTTCCGCATAGCTCCCATCAACTTTAAGCGGCAGTGGCAGAGGTTTCCAAATGGCAGGATGGTAGGCGAAGGTCTTTCACATCCTGAGATTCTTCAACTCAGGGATGAGGACATTTCCAGAGTGACATTGGCTGGTGGACATGGCAGCCTCGTCATCCCTGTAACCATCTTGTTTGGGTGTCACTTAAAGGCAGTTCACACAGTCAGCTGGGAACTATCAAGTGTTGAGTAACCAAGTGATTAATGACCAAGTAGTTTAAATGGACATGTGAATATTTGTCAAATCTCTCAGGTTACATACGCTTCAGCTTACAGACTCCGCTAACCAAGAAATAGTGCTTCAGCTTAAGAACTTTGCTTCAGGATGAGAACAGAAATTGTGCTCTGGTGGCGCGGCAGCAGCAGCAGGAGACCCCATTAGCTAAAGTGGTGCTTCAGGTTAAGAACAGTTTCAGGTTAAGTACGGACCTCCGGAACTAATTAGGTACTTAACCCGAGGTACCACTGTATATGATAAATATTCATAACTGCATATATAAACCACATGTCTGAAACCCCACAGAAAACGTCCTGAAACCATTTTGTCCCTCCCAAATTGACCTCAAATATTTCTCTGCAAGGCCGAAGGAAAATGGAAAAGCCTCCCCATTGTCTTTTCCTTCACAAATCCTGTCTTAAGGGTATGTCTGTGTATGAACAGGGTGAGCCTGTGACCTGGCTCAGGAACTAAGTATTTGTTAGACTTGCCAGGCGCCCCAGGGTATCCAATCAAGTAAGCATTAACAGGTAACCTGCCAGACCGGATCTGGCAGATTTCTGTTGTAGACCACCCTTTCTGTGATACATATATGATGTTTCTGGGGGTGGTCTTGGACTCCAGGGCAGGCAATTTAAAATGTCTATATAAGGATGGACACACCTTTGTTCGGGATCCTCCTCCTCTCTCCTGCGTGGGGGGGGAGCACCCTCTTGCAACAGTTTCAATAAAGATCAGGCTTATGAGCTGCTTTGCTTCTCAATATTCTCTGGCTGGCCTCTGTTATTTTCTCCGACCAATGGAGAACCTACAAAGGACTCTGTAAGGGCTCTTGTGTTCCCCATAAGGGAAGAAGGGCAGATTTTTGTTTATTACACACCGTACTGCAAACCCACCATTTTCTGCTTGTTCAAATGCAGGTGAATTTGTAGTGCGCCAGTATAAGTGGTTACAAATATTCCACTGTCTTGATGGCGCAATGTAGCACATTTAATTGAAGGTATCCATTACTGAAGCTACTTTCTGAAGGTTTTGCCACTGACATGAATACCACAATACTACTATGAGTTCAGAGTCAGGTCTCCAAGGCAACTTCCCATACTGCTGTCTTGCAATGTTTAGAGAACTGCTAGGTAGAGCCAGTTCTGTAGTTCCTTCCAGGAGGAGCGTCACCCATCATACTGGAATGGTGTGGGAACTAGCACTGCCAGTAATATATGCCAGTTTCCTCAAGGCATTCTGCCATAACATTCCATAAGGTATGTCCGTAGCATTATTCTCACATTGCACGTTCTGGGGTGGGGCCGTGGGGGGGGGGATTTTCAAATACTTATCTAGTGAGTCTTTGGCAAAAGCAAATTGTCACCTGGGGACTTCCTGGTACACAGATCTGTCTATGCCACAATGGTATAAAGGTAAAGGACCCCTGACCATTAGTTCTGAGGTTGCGGCGCTCATCTCGCTTTACTGGCTGAGGGAGCCGGCATACAGCTTCCAGGTCATGTGGCCAGCATGACTAAGCTGCTTCTGGCAAACCAGAGCAGCGCACGGAAATGCCGTTTACCTTCCCGCTGGAGCGGTACCTATTTATTTACTTGTTCTTTTTTGGCGTGCTTTCAAACTGCTAGGTTGGCAGGAGCAGGGACTGAGCAACAGGAGCTCAGCCCGTTGCGTGGATTCGAACCGCCAACCTTCTGATCAGCAAGTTTTAGGCTCTGTGGTTTAACCCACAGCGCCACCCGCGTCCCTGCCACAATGGTATACTAGTTCTCAAAATGGCTATCATCTCTTTATGTTGTTATGAGTTAGGTCAATAAGGAAGACTATCAAGCATGATGGTTCTGCTTGTATAGCCAACAGGAGCTTTTGGTGGTTCTTAATGGTCTGGAATCTACAGGCCTAAGAATGTCACTCTGTGGTGCAGGGGGAGAAGAAAGGACAGAGAGACAATCGAAAGGTAATTTCAATTTGGAATGGATAATTTAAACTGAGTTGGGATGCAAGTATTCATTAGGAATGTGAGACAGGATTAGCAGGTGTGCTGTCTGTTGTACACGTCTGTTTTCTTTTACTAAGTACTGTATGTATTTTTGTAAATAAACAGCTAAGACAATAATGCTGGAAGTGCTCTCTCACACCACAAGGAATCAGCTTCTGAAAAAAGACCACCCTGGAAATTCCAACTTCTTGGAAAAATGGATACCGGTAAGTTAATGCCCCTTTTGGTAACAAATTTTGCTCCTAAAACTTTTTCTCTTCAGTTAATACTTTTGTTCTCAGAATGGACAAAGGCTCAAAGGCTTTCCAAATTATTTTCAGACGTGTTTTCCTGGGAAGTTTTTCCTCTTGAATCCTGGAAGCATTCCATTTTTGCAAAGAGTTGCCATATTTCAAAAAGTGAAAATCCAGACAGAAAAGCAGTTGTGCCTTTTTTGGCAAAGTTGTTGAGCAGTAGTACGGCAACCCTATTTTTGCAGCTAATTAAAAACAGTCTCATAGTCTTTATAGAAATGTTGTATCCACTATATTTTCATACTAATTTTTAACAGTGGAAGTTAAGTTACTCAGATGTACAGTGTTTCCATTTTTAAAAAAGCAGTAAAGGTCTTTTCCTTCCAATTTGTGTTGCATATTTAGAATTGCAAACAATCTTAAAAAACATGCCATTACTAGTCCATTTTGAAATAATCCTCTCTGAAACAGATTTTACAATGAATTTTATGTTAATTGCTGGTTCTGCTGAGAGATCAAATAACACCAACAGACCACAACCACCTTAAAATCACCATGGCCAAAGCTTTGTTGGCTGAATATTCTGGTAATGTGCAAGTATTCTGGTAATATATTTTCTCAAGCACATACCATACCAGCCAAAATTCCACTGCTTGGAGCAGTAGAAAGCCCAGGAGCACCAAGGTAACTGGAAACACACAATTCAACTCTGCCCACCTTTGGAACAATATATCTGGTGTGCTTTGTCACACTGTATGTACATTTCCCCTCCATTGCAGTCTTTTTAAAACCTGGCTTCATTCAAGTAAATTGAGACTTTTGCTCCATTCACTTCTACTTAGCAAAAAAACCCCTTGTAATAGCAGAGCCTGGGACTTGTGAAATGTATCACATACACGCATCAATTACGGTGCTTTTTCTTGACTCCATTCTCTTCTGGGCAGCAGAAAAAGGGGATGGGAAAACTTTCGGACAAATCGCAATTGCCCTCCCCACATGTTATACAGTACGATGTGACTAGTATCTGTGTGCCGGGCCTGTAATGATTTTTGTACAGTATAGGATAGCAAAACAGCCTGCAGAGAAACAACCACCACCAGCGAGAGTCTGCTCAAA